AAGCATCCTCTCGGGAGTCTGTTCTATAAAATAATGGTTCTTGAGAAGAATCAATCCGAATGGATCTTCCTCCATAGCAATGGAATATGAAAGAAATTAGGATTATTTGACTCAGAGTATTTACCATGACATGACTTAGTTGTAAACGTCTGAAATGGTGGAACTATGATCAGAGCTTGATATAAATTAAACGCGAGATCAACATGATAAATTGGAGTCCCTTGTCAGCCAGAAAGACATCCTATAGTCTATGGTGTAATGGATATCAGCTCGGAGTGAGAACTCAGAGAGCCGAGTTCGAATTGCAGTCAAGTACGTTAAATTCACTTACGCACAAATATCTTTGGGAAAGGTATGAATTCGGCTCTTCTCCATCAAGCTATGGGACAGACTGGGTTTTTTTTAGCCTTGGTTGGCGACTCGTCTACTGCAGAAAGAAATGGCAACCTACTGCGGGAAAAATCTTCTACCTCGTCGGTCATGTATCGAAAGAGACATGATCGCCCAAGCGTGTGTCACTTAACTGACTGATAGTCTAGGGGGGGGTCAATGAAGTCACTTCCTGATGAGTAATTGAATGAGGAATTTAAGTTTTTCTTTTAAAATAAAGGTGAGAGTTTCTTAAAAATTGTCTACACCATTTCTGTGATAGAACTTAATGACTTTATTTACAGTACTTTATTGTCAAGATGGTCAGGTTGAGAAGTGAAATAGAATAAGTGATGAGAGACCAGATTGAAACGTCAACAGTGGGAGATTAGAGGGTAGATATTGAGGCCCTTCATTGAGTGAAAGGTCAGGTCAATCGGCTTCGAAAAAGATTTAAACAAAATATATACCATCAGAATAAATAGAATCACATGAGAACACCGATAACATTCAGTTAAAGACTGATTCAAATTCTCTACAAGAAGGGACATTTTAGGACAGTCACATCACAATTAGTTAAAGCGGTACTTAATGGATTCCAATAAAGTTGTCGTATCCTGTTGGCAATCCCACATCTTCTTATAAACAACCGGAAGAAAAAGCTTAGCGATTGTTGTAAAACTGATTCAGGATATGAAACGGACTCAAAGCATCGAAAAAGCGTGACTCCGTGGCCCATGACGTGGGGTAATACTATTATCTTTCAGTTGCGTCTCTGTCTTCGGGCAGAGAGCGACTCAGTTGCGTCTCTGTCTTCACGTGTGGCACTTAACTAACACCAATGCTTTAGAATTCGCAAAGATTTTGCAGAGTCTAAGCTTTATATAGGGCAAATGTTTAGAATCGAAAAAATGGCTGCAACAGTCTAGTATAAAAAAGGGGGATGCAAATGTCTAGAGTGCAAAAAAGGAAATCAAATATAAAGAAGGGATATTTTATGACAGTCACATCACAATTAGTTAACTAAAGCGGTACTTAAAGGATTTTAATAAGGTTGTCGTATCCTGTTGGCACTCCCACATCTTTTTTTAAAAAAGTAAGTAAAAGCTTAATCAGCGATTATTGTAAAATTGGTTCAGGATATAAAACTACCTCAAAGGATCCGAAAAAGCATGATTCCGCGGACTATGCCGTGTGGGTTATTATCGTCTCTCAGTTGCGTCTCTGTCTTCGGGTAGAGAGCGACTTAGTTGTGGTTCTGAGACGCAGCTGGGGAAAATAAAATACTGTGTGGTACTCGATCCCGGGGAACAGCTACCCGAGGCTGCACCCCCCTCCATTGCACTATAGAGGGGGCATCAGTAGTCATAGCGATGCCAGCGCAATTAACAGTTGCGGGAGGCTGGGCAATTTTTGTCCTTGGCTCGGATGTAGGCGCTCGGGTTCTTCACATTAAACCCGACCTTGTATCACATCTTTTCTCAGTGGATAAGTAATTGGGTAAATAATATGATTCTATGGTTTATGACGTGGTGTAATGCCATCATTTCTCAGTTGCGTCTCTGTCTTTGGGCAGAGTGCAACTCGGTTGCGGGGGAATGGGCAATTTTTGTACGACCAACATTATAAGTTCAAATGCCGTTTAAAGAATTATGTTCCTGATCAAACCAAATTTATAAATAACTAGCAGTAGAGCCCGGCGTTGCCCGGGGATGTAATAGTAAGAGATAGATCAAGTATCGACCATCATAACGACTGAAAAATAAAATTGACAAAGATTATTGTTTAAGGTTGACAGACACGCATGTCTTAATTAGTTTTTTTTTTTTTTTACGAATTGGTCAAACCCAAACTCAAACAAAAACATTGTTTTCAATCGTTATGAGTCTATCGATTGAATAGAATTTTATTATAAACAATTGTCTTGTAAATGGAATTTTTAAAGCATTCTGCATGTAAAAATAAAGAAAAAGGTGTGCAAGACAATAAGAAACACTACCTGCCAAAAAAGAAAGTGAAGTTTTGTTGAAATCGGTTAAAAAATGTAGTAAATCCGATCCCATATATAAACGAACACACACACACACACACACAACCTGGGTTTTTATAATAAGTATGACTCGATATGAGTTGTCTCCCTTTCATTCTGCCGACAGAATCGTGTTTTAAAATTGATTTCGTGCAAAAACAATTGTGTTTTACCAATTTTGGCGCTGTCAGAACCACCGCAAGGTAATTTTACGTAGTCCTGTGAAGTTTTGTTGAAATCGGTTGAAAAATGTAGGAAATCCGATCCAATATATAAACACACACACACACACACACAATCTTAGTTTTATAATAAGTAAGATTACATTGGTCATACTACTACACGCCTATCTAGACGATTCACGTTACATCTACCCGACTATAACTCAATTCCCACTCACTAAGATTTTTTTGTGATTGACACAAGAACTTAAATTTAATAGGGAATCAAATTTTTATATATGTTCTAAAAATGTCTAAATCTTTATTTATATATGGAAATTAATTTACCTTTTTAATTCGGAGTAAAGTTTCGTTAGGTTATTATCTAAATAAAAAGTTAAAAAAAAACAAAGTTTAAGTTCAGAGAATTTTTTTTTAGGAAATCGGTCGGTGGTGGTAACCTAATTAATATCCACGGAGTTTTTTCTTTTTTTTGTTTTTAATAATGACCTTTTCAAGATAAAATCCATTAATTATATTAAATAAGTTCTGAAAAATTAATTTTTAAATCAGATAAATTATGTGATTTTAGACTAATTTTTCAGAATATCTGAGATAATAATTTCCTGAGTTTTGGTAAATTTGTAAAAAAAACTGGAGGTAGCGTTTGTTGCGGACCCGGTAGGGTGCAGTGCTGGATTATACTGAGTGGCCTTGTGCCAGACACCACACTAAACTACCGAGCCTACAAGCAAAGTAAAAATGCGTGAATGAACAACGAAGAAAAGTGGAAAATCCACACGTGCATAAATAAAATATATTAACAAGATAGCCTCCTCGGAATGACTGAAAAAGACTGGTTTTCAACAAGAGTAATTTTTATTAATACAGGCAAAACAAGTAATTTGTCCCGTGGTAGGGACCAATGAGAAAGTTCCGCGCCAAAAATGGAAAAGCAAGATGGCTAAAGGCGGGAAAAAGTTTCTTGAAGAAGAAGTAGATACCAGATAGTCAATGTACATGGTAATATTCATACAAGGAAAAATACTCACTGCGAGTTTAGGTAATGTGAGTGAATGTTATGTACGTATTTTTTTTTTTTTTTTTTTTTTGTACTGGTTCAAAACAGATTTCTGACGAGACCCAAAGTGGACGACGGAATGATTTGTATGTTCTGCATCGTCTCGGAGTAGGACTTCGAATGACGAGTCTCAAAGGGCCGAGGAATTAATATTTTGGATGTTTTGCATCATCTCGGAGGAGGACTTTGAATGACGAGTCTCAAAGGGCCGAGGAATTAATATTCTGGTGTTCTCATAGTCTTGTAAAAGAAATTCCGAATGACGAGCCAAAAGTGACGAGGAAAAAATTATCTGGTATTGCATCGTCTCGGAAAAGGGGTCTTGAATGACCAGCCAAAAGGAACGAAGAATTAATTATTTGGTATTGCATCGTCTCGGAAAAGGATTCTTGAATGAGCAGCCAAAAGGGGCGAAGAATTAATTATTTGGTATCGCATAGTAAGATATCCTTCGTCAGTCAAACTGAAATATTGACATGGATAAAAATGAGTCTGCTCAGGTCAGAGTCTGGAACACCAACTGACTTTTCTCAAACAACAGTTTGTCGTTGACGTCACAAATTTTTCGCGGCAAGATTTCAAAAATCTAATTTGCATAAACAGTAGTAGCAGTCGCTTGGTTGGTGACCAAAGCAGTTACTACTGTATTAGACAGAACGAAGGAGGAAGGGAGGTGTCAAACGCCGCGCGCACACACACGAGTGACGGAGAAAGGGAGGCAACTCGCGCGCGCGTAAAATGTCGTAGATGGAATAATACCTTATTCCACACGTTTTTGTTGTCTTTGAATGAAACATTTGCTTTTAGTTTTACTTTTATTTTAATTTTCAAGAAAAATAGGTTATCCTCCGAAAATGACTTTTTTTTTAATTAATTAAAATAAAAATGTTTTTTCAGTGAAATTTTCATAAAAGAATTTTCTTTTTTTAAGTTTTGAGAAAAATACAATACAATTTAAATTAAATCAATTTTTGATTGAGATCTTAATTTTAAATATATTTATTTAATATTAATTTAAACTCAACCTGGTTTTTGTTAGATTACAATTCGTTTCATATTTCCTACCGGCGGCAGAAGTCGGTGTCGAGCCTGGATTATTAATGTTAATTTTTTAAAACCGGCGAACTCTTCCCTTTTGGGATGACTAACTCAAATAATTCTTCATAAATCCCCATTTGAACTTGCGCTAATCTAAACTTAGCTTACCGGAGATCATCTGCTAGATAAAATTAAATAGTATTATCTGAATTAGTAAAAATTTCTTTCATCTTACCCGGACATTATTTTACGCGAGAACAATGTGTAAACTTACACCGGCAGGCATGCCTCCATCAGAAAATCGAGAATTTTGATTGTTACTATGGGAGTTGTTTGGTAAGGAAATATTTTCTTTATTTATGAATGGTTTTCTCTTATTTGGATAATTCAATGAGGTTTATTTACACCTACTATTTTTTAAATGTTATAGAGCTTCTTATCTTAAAAATTTCTTTTTTTTTCCGACATTGTTCTTTCATAAACATTATCAAACATTGTTGTTAATGAATGTTATGTTATTCATCGTCTTTGTTATTCGCCACACCATTTCGATCGAATACTTTCCGGCTTTCCTTGAATATTTTAGACAAAACATTGTGAAAATAAATAACAATTGACAACAAAGGCAAATTTCCACCAACGACAATAATAAAGAAATCACCTCGAACAAAAAGACAATATAAACTTTGTTTTTACTTACAATGTTTGTCAATATTTGTTACTGAATTTATTTTTGCTGTTAGTATCTGTTCCTTTTTTTTTTACTTTTATTTATAACCTTTGAATTCTAGTAAATAAGAAGTTACTTAAAGTTTTTAATCATTTTTCTACTCTTATTAAAAACCAGAAAAACTCAAAACTAACTTTAACAGTTTTTTTTAGCGATATTAATTTTTTGTGATTGTTTAGGAAATTGAATTCAATTGTTAGAATTATTTTTTTTTATTCGATCATAATGTTAATAAGCCATCAGAAATATAAACTTTTTGGCGCCAACATTTTATCATGTTTTTGAGGAATAACAAAAAATGTCTATTTTTTCAAGCTATTTCTACATACCAAGTAACCAAAGTAGACTACTGAGAGAATTTGAAAACAAAAGCTTTTTATTTTAATTTAATTATTTTTAACGTTCAAATCGAGGGACTTGTGATTTATTGTTCACAAATGTTGAATTTCATTTTTTTTTTCTTAATAAATTTAATTTCAAAGCATTACTTTTCATGTCAAAAAGAGGACTTATGAGTCTTGTTTAAGAAATTTTCATGTGCGATATAAGGCCTAAGGGTGATAAAACACTCTGGGGCGCTACTGAAATAGACTGGTCCACTCTTTAAAAAAAAAATATAGGGAACATTTTTGTTTTGAAATCATTTTTGCAGTTTATGAGACCTTTCTTAAGGTGCAACATTTGTTAGAATAAAAAAATACTGTTTTTTTTTTTAATCATTTTGTAAGTGAGGTCCTCGTCATTGTATCGATATAGTGTAAAAATAAAATCGTTTTTTAAAGAGTTATCTGGACTTGGTTCTTTAGAAATGTCAAGTATTAAACTGTGCTTATGTCATTGATATATCTAATTTTTTAATTTTCAGAAGTGTTAAGATATATTTTTTAATTTTTTAACATTTTTTTTTAATTACACGTGAAGTAAACAAATTATGTAGTGTTTTTTGTTTTTTTTAACAAAAAGATTTTCAAATAAAAAACAAACAAATTTTTATGTGTTCTTTTCTAAGAAAATATTTTACAAGCAATAGTACTTGTTTGGTAAATTTATTTTAAACAAAATTGTTTGTCAGATGAAACTCTTAATAAAAGAACAAATAGCTATTTTTGTGATGTCAACGAACACTCGTCCCTTTTGTAATGTCAATGAATACTCGTCACTTTCATAATGCTTGTTGTAGTATAGACTTTGTAATCACAGATACAACTGTAGTACGCCGTTGAACAATACTTGTGTCAGATGCCTTCGAATAAGTCTCGCACTAATAGTACTTGCTTGATAATATTCGCTTGACAAGTAACCTGTATAGTGATCTGAATAGAGAAATAGTATAGTGAATAGAGTAGAGAATAGTGGTCCATATTGTAATAGAGGATAGACTAGGAATAGAGATCCATATAGTATAGCGGATAGAGTAGAAATGCAATCATTAGTTGTCAATTATTTCCTACATATATGTGTTTCCTCTATGGTCAGGTGGTCTCCTTAATTTAATAATGGGATCGCCTGTGTTTGCTCACTGGTGATCTATGTTCAAACTCAAGTATCAGCAGTGACACTGTATTCCTATATAACACCTCCCCTTTGAGATGACTTTCTCTGGAGTCTATATGTCTTCAGCTTTGATTCAATATTCAAATGTTCTGTTGCTGTTCTTTTTCTTTTACTGTACCTCCTTAGTTCACTAATTTCTGGTGGCATGGGTACATCAAACATGTCATACAATATTTCCATTGGTACCTCTTTTTGTGGACTTACTAAATAAGTGAACCTCCATTTTAACTGATTAGTGTTGCTTATGTTCCCATCTTTGTCCCTGTACCATGTATGTCATTTTGCCGATCTGTTTTTTTATAACGCCATCTTCCCAGAATTCCTTTCCACATTGTTCTGATTTCTTGATGTTTTCATCTTCTGTTCTGGTAGTAATTTATTAAATATGGACTTAATCTTCCTGGCGAAAAAACAACTCTGCAGGCAACATTCCAGGCACAGTGTTCATGTTTGGTGTTATTCTGTAAACACTCAAAAATTGTTGTAGAATTATTTCATCTGACTCCTCTCCCTCCCACTTTTTTAGTACCATTTTAAAAGTAGTGACAAGCCGTTCTGCTTTTTCATTTGATCTTGGGTGATAATGGGGAGTTGTAATATGTTCTATTGCTAATAATTTGCAAAAAAACTTAAATTCACTAAACATGAATTGAGTCCCATTATCTGAAACAATAGAGTCGGGAACACCGAACCTTGCAAAAAATCTTGTGTAGGAAATTTATCGTTACTGCGGTAGTAGGTCTTCTACATTTTAATATTTCTGGCCATTTAGTGTAACTATCAACTACCACTAGATGGTATGCACTGTTTAACAGTCCTGCAAAGTCTATATGTATTCTGGACCATGGCATATTGGTTTTTGGCCAAGGTTGAATTTTGATATGTGGTGACTTTGTTGCCAAAGTACAACCTCTGCATGATTTCACTAAATTTTCAATACCTTGCTCCTTTTTTGGCCAATATGTATAACACCTCATTAAGGATTTCATTCTAGAAATTCCTAGATGCCCTATATGAAATTCCTTTAGCATACGTTTTTGCAACAATGCTCGTATCACAATTCTTTCTGCATACATAAGTACATTATTATTTCTTCTAATGTTATGGGCAGTTCTCTTACAGTATTGTATAATACATTATCAATTTCATTTTCGGCTCTTATTGCCGCACATAGTGTGTTTTAAAGTGGTTCGCAGAATTTTGGTATTAGTCTAGACAATCCGTCTGCATGACTTAATTTTTTGGATGGTCAAAACTCCATTTTATAACTATAGTTCAATAGGATAGTACACCAGTGCTGCAGTTTATTTGCTGTATATGTGGGAACACCCTTTTTTATCCATATATGGAGAATAATGGACGAGGGTCTGTCTGTAGTATAAATTCTTGACTATGTATGAATTTATGAAACTTTTTCATAGCAAATAAGATTGCCAATGCTTCCTTTTGAATTTGGCTGTAGCTTTTTTCCACTGCAATTAATGATCTTGAAGCATGAGCTATCGGTTTAGTTGTTCTGTCCTCATATTTGTGTAGTATCACTGCTCCGTTACCCGAATCACTTGCATCTGATGCAACCACAATCGTTAATTTAGAAGGTCAAAATGACCTAGTGACAAATCCGATGTTAAGACTTTCTTGATCTCTTCGAAAGCACTTTGACATTTATCTGTCCAGTCCCATTTCACATCTTTCTTTAGCAGGTTATTCAAGGTGCTCTTAATTCGTGCATGTTTGGTATATATATATATATATATATATATATATATATAGTGATGATCAGATCCTGAATCCAGCTGCAATTTTATTTTTACATCATTTGCACAAAACCAAATTTTCTCTTTTGTAATGTCTTGTTAATTTTCCTTTAGGCTTCTTATCTTTGCTCCACGTATTTATCATGTTCACACACGTTTTCTTTTTTCTTTTTTTTTTTGTATCTGCAACATGTACTTTTGTGTCCTAGTCTCCCACACTCATAATATTTTTTGTTCTTGAAAAAACAATCACTTTTAAATGCTTACCTCCACAACCATGACAAGTATTAGGTATTGAGGGGGGAGGGGGGTTTCTAGTCTTTTTTTCTTGTTCTGTTTGGTGTTGAAAAACATTTGTAGTTTTTTCTCTTAGATGGTCAGACGCTATGTACTTGTGAATTTTCCTTTTTCTCAATCCTTACAGTTTCAAATTCACAATACTTTGCCATTATTCCGCTATTTTCTGGAGAGTTAATTTGGAATCCATTTCTAATTTAGCAAGTATCCTGGATCTTATCTCCGCGTACTTATTAGAAGTTAAACCCTGTACGAATATAAGGCATTTAAATAAATCAGGAGTTAATTCATTTAACTTGAACTTTTCACACTTTCGATTCATGATTCCTGCATAAGTGACAAAATCTTCATTGTCCGACTTCACTAAGTTAAAACATTGCCATCATGTATTAAATAATGAACTCCTGTCACCAAAAATTTTTGATAGAATTAGAACAGTTTCATCAAAATTTATCTTTCCTGGTTTTTTCAGCAAAATATAATTCACATATTTCCTTAATAATAACCAAACTTTCTTTTCATCATTCCAATGTCAACAATCTCTTTTGAAGATCCCTTCGTATCTTCTATAATAAACTGGAAAAGTTATCTCTTCGTCTGGATTGTATACAAATTCACTGATTGAATTAGCAACAGAATCTGGAGTGAATGAATCTGAATTTTTTTCCTTCCTTGGTTTTGGTAAACAATTCAAAATCTTCTGTTGTTGTAGCTGCAATTGTAATTGCTGTTCATGTTGCCATTTTTGTTGCTGCAAATGTTGTTCTTGTTGTTGCTTTTGTGGCGCCAACATTTCAGCCATGATAGCTTTTAGTTCTTCCATTTTGATGAACGAATCCTTGTGTAAGTTCATGGTTCAAGGGATCCTTACAAATCCTTGTCATCACTTTTGTGATGTCAACAAATACTCATTGTCACTTTTGTAATGGTTGTTGTAGTAGAGACTGTAATTGCAGATAGAACTATAGTATGCCATTGAACAATACTTGTGTCAGACGCCTTCAAATAAGTCGTACTAGTAGTACTTGCTTGATAATACTCACTTGACAAGTAACCCATATAGTGATCTGAATAGAGAAATAGTATAGTGAATAGAGTGGAGAATAGCAGTATATATAGTATTGAGGATAGAATAAAATGTGATCATTAGTTGTCAGCTACTTCCTACATAATGGGATCACCTGTGTTTGCTCACTGGCGATCTAGGTTGAAACTCAAGTGTTGGTAGCAACACTTTATTCCTATATAACGGCTATTCATTTATTCATCATTTAAGATAAATATTTATTATCCCAACATGTTTGTGTATATGCTTCTGAAAAAATCCCTCCTCCCTAAAAAAAAAGTTGTTTAAAAAATTCAGAAAATTAACTTTTTCTTTATCCTTGCTTTACCTCTTCCCTTTCTATATATTCATATTGGGACCTCCATTAATTTGCTAAAAAAAAAAAAAAAAAAAAAAAAAGAACATACCATGATGAAAAAGTGACCCAAATCTGGTAAAAACAAAATTTTTTCATCAAAATCTTTGCTATTCTTAAGGGGAAAAACCAAAGTATTTTTTGATTATTAAATCATATTTTTAATCCTTTTTAGAACTTTTCAAATTTTGATTAAAAATCTTGTTTTTCTTGCATCAGCAAATTTTAACATCATTTTTGCAGTGAAAAATACATTGATTCGGAAATTCTTGTAAAAAATCAAATAATTGTCTGATTTTAATGGAACTTTCAGAATTGCGTTGCGTAGAGACAAGAATAATAAATAAATTAAATTTTACATTTATCTGTATGGAAATGACAATGTCTTTAAATTTAAAAAAATACAATTTATTTTGATTTTTATTCAATTTATTTTTATATAATTTAATCTTATTCTTATTTTCAGTGTTTTTCCTTATATTATTCCGGAAGGAAAGAGTGGCCTGCAAGTGGTTGATTGTCTCCAGAAACAAGTTGAGCTGTTGGGTGCTGTCAAAGCAGGGACATTTTGTGTTGACTGTGAAACGTATCAATCAAACTTTTCAAACACAAGTAAGTTTTGCTGAATCTTTTTTTTTTTAACTAATTTAGTATAATTATTATATTTTTGTTGAATTTTTTCTTTTTTTCCCCCAATTATCTGACATGCTGTGTGTGTATATATATATATATATATACACACAACAAGACATAATTGTAGTTAGTAAACTTGTGATACTATTTAGCTATGGTAATTGATTAACTAATTAACCATAAAAATTAAACAAGAAAATACTGAGAACAGAAAAGAAGATACCCCGGGATTTTATTTTTACTTAATAAAAAAAAAAGTTACCTTTCTCAAAAACCCGAACATTGGTGTAAACAGTGGACTCACAAAAAGGCCATATGCAAGCTTTTGACAATTGATTTATGATGTTTGTAAAAGTACTGGTTAAAAAAAAAAAAAAAATTTTAGAAGTCAACCAGGCAATGAGGCCATATGTTGATTATAAAAATTTTGGCATGAGAGAATTACCATTATTTATTCTTCTCAAAGAAGCCAAGGGTTTGTTTAGACGCTAAACTCCACGAAGGGGACAAAATGGCAGGCTTTGACAATTGATTGATGACATTGTAAAAGTATTGGTGGAGAAAAACACAGAATAACCAAGTGTCGAGGATATGGTTTTAAGTGGCCATGTGTTGATTATAGAATTTTGGCATGAGAAAATATCTCAATTGCCGCTTTAAAGATAAAGAGATTTATTTTTCTTTTCTGAGAAGCCAAGGGTTCCCACTGAACTTGACGATTGATTGATATTGTTTGTAAAAGCATGGGTTAAGAAGATGCAAAGTGGCTAGGAGCATCAAAGATATCAGAGATTTTAAAAGACAGCCATGTGTTATTTGTAAGAATTTTTGCCGGTGAGAATGAGAATTTTGTAAACAAAAATTCTAGTTTATAATTTTAATGTGGCCAGCTTAGCCACACCCGCACGGCTGGGCGCCATTGGTCAAATGGTAGCAATGGTGATAGGCGGGGATAATTTGATGAGAAAGACGGGCAAATTATTAATGCCCACTGAAAGGAATTGGTATGAGGTACCAATGTGAGAAGCAGGGAGTTTGGGAGGATAGCTATCCTGCAACCTCTCCTCACGACCAAAGGGATCCCCCCAAAAATGGAAAGTAATTTATTTTCCCAAAATGGGAAGTAATCAATTTTCCTAACCAGTCAACAAAGAGATCCTTTGTCAGAAATCGGGATTTACTAAAAACACCAGGCTGCATCTAACTCTGCACCCATTTTTGGTCGGTGTCCATATAAGCAAGCACCCTCGGGCAGTTCGCCAGTAGTAGTTGTTGAGAAGTTTCAGTCCAACAGTTTGAGTAGCAGGAACCAGAGCATTGCCTCGCAGAAGCTGACCAAGAGATTCCATTGCCTCCAATTTTGCCTACCAATAGCAAGTTATACTGAATACAAAGGAAGCTAAGCCAACACTTGAAAACTAAACCAGTTGACTTAGAAAACCAGAACTTGCCTAAGAAGTATAAAAGTGTCACTCTCCGAAGAAACGGGTTGGGAGAAAAACACACACTTCTGTATATAACAGATAGATAAAAGTTGATTTGTTTCATTCGACACACTTGAACCTCTTGGGTTTTTATTTGCTTCTTTTCTTTACGCTTGTGTGATATCATCTCAAGTTTAGACTCATCTTACACTACAAGTGTAAGATGCAAGTGACAAACATATTTTTATGGTAACACTTTTACAGAATTAAAAAGAAAATGACAAAGTATAAATTTCAAATGATAACCTGGAGATTTTCAAACTGGGAACAACTCCTTGGTCTTCTGTTTTGAAGTATGAAAGACTTCAACCATGTTTTCAGTTTCTTCGTTTCAGCCTTCATTTGATGAATTTTATCACTTTCGGGTTTGTTTGTGGTGGCAAGGGTCCTTATTCTTTGACTATTCTATCCACTGCATTTGCTAACTTATCTACAAATTTCCTTAATCTTCCACCAAACCTGAGTGTGATAGAGAGAGATCATCTCCCTCTCACACATCAACTGGCTTATCATGTTGAAACAGTGGTTTCTGTATGATCACCGAAGTTAAGCAACACCAGATGCTGTAAGCTTGCGTGATTTAATACATAATGGCGCAGAATACTGTCTGAGATAAAGTATTAAGATTACTTGCATTATTTACATTATTCAGACTGTTATTCTCATCTTCATTGCCATATTCATGTTTTGGCCCTTGTATGCTCCGGCCTTCTTCAAGTGATTGGAATTTCAAACCAAACCCTTTATTTCATTCACCAGGGTAGATTGTTCTAGTTCCACATGCTGTGCATCCTTCGGATGTCTTGGTTATTTCCCTTTAATTCCACTTTCCAAGTTTTGGTTCACCATGGCTGTGGCCTGGTATTGAACACAACTCTTTGGGTCTAGTCACTGGATCTAACCAACATCTTTATCCACTGGGCCATGTATCCTTGAAAACATCTGTGAAGCACTTGAAGAAGGCTGGAGTGTACAACGGCCAAAATGTTGTGATTATGGCAATGAAAATGAGGATAACGGTCCAAATAATGTAAATAATGCAAGTGTCTTAGAATTGATAATCGGAAAATCAAGTCCCAATTCCAGTTGGGTTTGTTATATTCATTTATGTGCAAATACCCTTGGGAGAGGTATGAATCCACCTCTCCTCCCTCAAGCTATGGGTTAATTAGTAAGACTTTATTATGTCAAAAAAAAAAATCTTAAAATCTAAAAATATTTTCTGACTTTAAATACCTTGCAATGAGTTGATAAGCCATAGAAAATGAATCAATCGATCATGTCAAGTGTCAGTCTCTTGCTTTTAATAATAATAATGCTAACGCACAGAAACTAAACAAATCCAAAATATTGCAAAGATTTCTTTTTTTTTCTTCCCTAGCCACCCCACAGCGTTTAGTGCACATTCTGCACAACAGTGAACAGCCTGCAACATGCTTTGCCATTGTTGATACGGGTAACTGTTTGGTTGCTGACAGCCAGTTTGATATCCTCATGCAGCGGCTTAAAGGTTTTTACCAACAAAGAAAAGGATTTAAGATCGAGTCAAAAGGTCAGCGTTATGAATATGGAGATTTCCTCATTAAAATTGGATCTGTGCTCCTGGCTTCCAGCTTTAAAGGAATTCTGCTTGAGGTAAGAAAATACAATTTCTATTTTCCCAAGTGTTTGTTGTTTTTTTTTTTTTTTTTTTTTTGCCTTTTAATCAAACATTCCACTTCTGTTTTATTAGTATCTTGTCAGCGCATTTGAATAGGCCATCTATCTATCTTGTCAGCGCATTTGAAGTTTAAATCTTCTTGCTTTAATCTGCTTATCTTCAGTCATACAATACAAGACAATAGGTTTTTGGCCATTTATTGCTATTGTAAATTTCTAATTGTCATCTTATAAGTGAATGTTTTTTTTTACTAGATGAAGCTTTGGCCATATTGGAGTCATTTTCACATCTAATCATGAGATTTTTTATTGAGAGATCTGAACGAGGAGAGATGAAAGACGACACTCCAAAATAGCTGTGCCAAATTTTGGGAGCCACCTGACCTTTTTTGTTTTCCCTTTTTTATTCCATCTCAAAAAGACAGATATTTTTCTTGGGGGAACAGAACTGATTACCCCCCCATATATATATATATATATATATATATATATATATATATTATTATAATTATTTTTTTAAAACTATGATTCCTTTGCTACATAAGAGTTCTCATGTTTTAAAAACGAGAGCCGAAACCGTCAATGCAATTATTAAAATTAAATTGAATTAAAGTAACAAGCCCTGTTTCATCCTCGAGCGAAAATTTAGGAATAACCAATTTTGAAACTTACGTATTGTTATAAGCAAGTTCATTCATTACTATCAAAACGGCTGGGGTGACCATTTTTATCCACATATCAATTACCTTCAGGGAGAGGTCAAGCTGAAGTAGGGTGGGGTGTCTATTTCAAAGCGAATGATGTCTTTCTTGTACGCGCATCGTCTGTTCATTCATAGAGAAAGGTAGATTTTGGCACCATCGTACGTTGTTAAGTGTCTGGATAATTTTGTTTATTTTATTTGTTTATTTATTTTCAATGGGCTGTTTCATATATAAATGCGCTGCACTGAACTACAATTTGTTTTTTTTTGTTTTTTTTGACGACTTGATAAAGGGTTTTTCCCTTTAATGATTGGGTTAAGTTTTTTAGCCCTTTATTAAACTATGAAATTTGATTTTTTTTTTTTTTTTTTTTTTTTTTTTTTAGGCTAATTATTTAATGCAAAATTTTGTTGATGTCTGGAAAAAGCCGTTAACTCATGTCTGGTTTAATAAATTTTCATTATTTAGAAACTTAATTATGTGTAGTTTTTCATGTAGGCATAAAGGGCATGGGTCATCCCAGGTTTTACAAGTTCTTGTTTTATTTATTATTTTCCATTTTACTTTTGGTGTTTTATTCATTTCTTGTTTGCTTGTTACTTTAATTCAATTTAATTTTAATAATTATATTGACCGTTTCGGTTCTTGTTTTTGAAACATGAGAACTCTTATGTAGCGAAGGAATCATATTTTTAAAAAAATAATCATAATCTAAGCTTTACTTCTGTATGGAGCACTGTTTTTTAAAAATAAAAACAAAAATACTAAAGAACCCTAGATTATTTATCTAACATGTTCTTTTCTATTTTTCTACATACCTGCATGCATGCACACACACACACACACACACACACACACATATATATATATATATATATATATATATATATATATATATATAGAGAGAGAGAGAGAGCGTAAATTCGGGCATTGAATTCCTGCATTCTTTGATTACTTGAAATCATAGGAAAAATTTCCAAAGAAACCAGGATCAAGATAGTGAAGATGGCCAAGAATATGAACCAGCAAGTAGTTGCTAAGAAATTTGGAATTTCAAAAAGAGGCATTTCAGAAATCTACTGGAAGTGTTTTGAATTGATTAAACTATGGCTGCCTTCAAATGCTGTAGCATAGGTTAATATGGAAACTGATCAGGACTGCAAAAAGTGATTTTTTTTTTTTATTGTGCTCTATGCAGATGGCTATATAAGAAAACTTTTCATACCTAATTATTGTGTTTTTTTTTATCAAGAGTTCTGAAGAAATGAGACCCCACCCCAGTCAGTGCAAAAATTTCAGCCATCTCATATCGAAAAAAAGTCAGATGCAGTATTTTAAAATGGTAAAATGTCTGTAATAGATGTTTATTATATAATGTTGATTTAAAGAATTTGGTGCACATTGTGAATATTTTGTGTGGCTTCCTGCAGCTTGAATAATTGATTCAATGTGCCTAGAATGGGATATTTACAAATCCTTCACCATCTTTATATGCACTAGATAGGATTCCCTATGGTCCAAGCTTCCACAACCCAAGATCACGTGAGTTCTTTTAATGAATTCTACTCATTAGTGCTGTCAGCATTTAGTCCATGATTTAAGTCAGGGTTCTAATCTAGCTAATCTTTTAATGTGGGGAAATATTCATCAATGAGTCTCTATTGTGTTGCATGCAAACTGATATAGAATTCCATAAAGATTTTGCCATCAACTAAGTCTGGTATCAAAAATTCCTTTGACCTTCTCACAAATTCTCATTTAGAATAAATCTCTATCTTTCTTTCATCCCTGAAAGTGATCTTCATCCCACTTTAACCAACTTAATCTTGCATTCAAATGCTTTTTGTTTAAAGCTGTTTTTTTTTTTTTAATTATTTTTTGTTTACATGAACCTATTCAATCCATGATCTCGAAGGATGCCTTTAATGTTATCTACTGACACCAAATTGAACAAGTCACAATCATCCATCACTTTTTGCAGTCCTGATCAATATCCATATTATCCTATGCTACAGTGAATTCAGTGTCTGAACTTACCCTATACATATGTGTGTGTGGAGCAGTTGTGTTTCCCATCCCCACCCCCCCAAAAATATCTGCCTTTTTGAGATGTAATATAAAAAAAGGAAAACAAAAAAGGTCAGGTGGCCCCAAAAAACTTGGCACAGCTATTTTAGAGTGTCGTCTTGCATCTTCTCTCCTCATTCAGATCTCAATAAAAAAATCTGATGATTAGGTGTGAAAATGACTTCAATATGGCCAAAGTTTCATTTGGAAACAGTACAATAAAAAAGAACATTAACTTATAAGATAACAATTAGAAATTTACAATAGTTTAAAGTGGCCAAAAACCTATTGCTTGGTATTTTATTTCCAATTGAAAAAAAAAAGACTGCATAATGTTATATATACAACCTAATACCATAGATTATTATTTGACACTATTTAACCTCATGCCCACAAAAACTAGTGTTAAATGGATGGCTTTTCCCTTGACACTGCTATTATTTTAACTACCTTCACTCCTCAGCAATGATTATTTTTTTAAAAAGAAATGAATAGAATTGTAATAAAACTTATGATGAAAGTGAATTTTTACATATCTTGAAAATTTACTATAAAAATATTAAACGTTATTTATTAGATTATTTACAAGAATAATTTTATATTTGCAACATTCTAAAAACTAATATAATTGTATTAAAACAAATTCAATGCAGTATTTATCATTTACTAATTTATAAAGAATTAAATATGGAAAGGAATTTGTTTATTCAAGTACTTATTTACCATTTTATAAAGTTCAGATCATTTGGCAATTAACTGATGTTTTGTCAACCATTCCAATAAACAATCTAATAAGTAAATAGGGTTTAATATGTTTGTCATTATAGTGAATAAAGGAAAGTTAAGTTGGTTTGTAAAAATTGAATATTTTATTAAATCACTAATTTATTATGATGCACACTAAATGATGCTAGATTAGTTGACTGGTGTGTGTGTACGTATATATATATATATATATTTAATTTATGGAAAACTAGGTAATCTGTATGGGTAGACGCAAGGAGGATAAAATCCAGAGGGCTCAATGTAAACCCAGAGCAAATAATTTAAATAAAAACAGACCACTTTAAGGTTCCATGTAATAAATTATTTCACCACAGCCCTTTTAAAGGACTGCGGATCATCAGACTTTACTTCCAAAGGTTGAAACGAAAAAAGAATCAAATAATTTTTTGGATTTTAATGAAACTCTCTGGACTTATTCACAAATGAATTAAATTATTTTATAATTGTTTCTTTTTTAGAAAATCTTGGGAAAAAAAACTTTTTTTCTACATCTGTTACTTGCCACTTATTTAATTTTGTGAAATTTCAAGAAATTAATGTTTGTCCCACTTAATTTTTATATTAGTTATATTTATATATAATATATTTATAAATATATTTTTACATTATATTTATTTACATATTTTTATAATGTTTATATTTAGTTATATGTAGAACTCTTTGGAGAATTTAAGTCGTCAATTTTTATTTTTATAAAACAGTTACTGAAAATCTACTCTGAGTTCACTATTTACATTATTCGGACTACTGTCTTCATCTTTCTCGCCATATTCATTACAATGTTTCAGCCGTTGTATGCTCTGGCCTTCTTCAGGTAGTTGGAATGTTGAACTGAACCCTTTATTTTGCTCAATGGGGTAGACTGTTCTAGTTCCACGTGCCATGTTTAATGGACGTCAGTTAGCGAAATATAGTCACCCTATAAGTCATAAAATAAAAATGCAATAAAACTAAGACATTTAATTAGAAAATCTTTTAATTGCTTTATGAATAAGATATATTAGAGTCACTATTGCTGTAGGAAAAAAATTTTTTTGATCAATAATGAATTTTTACAAGAACCGTTTTCATTTTTTTAAAAATTTTCATTAGAATAATTTATAAAGTTTTAAGCCTTTTAAATTTCTGTATTAATTTGTACTGGTTAGGTCATATTGTTACTAAGTAAAAACTACATTTACTGATCATAAATCGAAAAGATTACTACAATTCATCAACCCCCCCACATATTTTAAAAGGAATTTTGAATGTGTGTGCATAAAAATGCCAATTTTTGTAAGTACAGACGTCCATACACAAGTTTATCAGAAAATAAGAGCAGTAACTATAGTAAATTTAATGCCAAACTACCTAAAGTTCAATACATTAGGTTACAGAGAGTATTTTCTTAAATTAAGATTATTGGGTAGCTAAAAATTATAAAAATGCTGCTCATGTTATATTCCTCAGGTAATTTTTACAGATATGTCCCACATAGAAAAAAATTGGATAAATTCAGTACCTTAAATAAACAACTACCCCTGTGGAAAAAAAAATGCATTTCTGCAATATTTTAAGCTTAAAGTAAGTAATATTTGTTTCAAATCAGATTAAACTTTAAATCCATTCGTGGAGTCAATGACAACCTATTTTTATGCTTACAAGTGTTGCCCACAGTTGGAAATGATTATTTAATGATTTTCTGTGGTTTATAACTTTGACAAATGATTTTGATTTTGTTGCTGAATAAGTCAAACCATATATTACATGTTTTTTTGTTTTCTTTTCTCTTTATCTCATAAGGTTGAATATTATCCTTGTGCTTATCTTGGTGATTGCTGGAATTTAATGAAGGAGCTGATCCAAAGTGTTATGGGTAATGTTTTGGAAACACCCCCTGCTTTCTTGAAGCAAAAATTCAACTCAGAATACGGACCCTCGGACACAATTCAACAGTATTTAGAACATTTTAATGGTTTCAGAAAAGCAGCTTCTGCCAATCAAGCACGATGATTTGAAACATTCAAATTTGAAATTAAATTTTTTTTCTTTATCTTGAAGTTTTCAGTTTTTATTCCAAAACTTAAAAAAAATTTTTTTCTAACCAATAAATGGCATTTTCTTGCTAAGCTCTTTTTTTTAATTAATCATTTAGAAAACTTTTTGTTGACTTCACTCTGACTTAATTGTCCAATTTGTTTTGAATGTTGATTAATCAGAACTCGATTTTACAAGTATGTTTGATATACATGAATCCTTTGATAACAGATTTCTGAACCATACTTATTATTGTCAATTTTTATGGCAGGAGTTGTAGAAATGATTTTTTTTTGTCTAAATTCAAGTATTGTTGATCTACAAAAGAACTGAGATCTGAGACTTCTCCTATTTATGCGGTCTTCAGAATTAGTAGTCAGAGTTAGGAATGCTGACATATAGAGAACAACAAGGTTGTACTGTATGTAGACAGGTCATCTCAATGTGACCACACACCAAACACTGGCTCAAAAACTTTTCCTAGATCAGACCTGTGATTGCAGTGACCTCAGCTAATTTACCTTAATCCTTCCAGGTTGATGTGGCCCTAATTATACAGAGATTTAATGTCTTTGTTCTATGTGACAAGTTTTAATCCAAACTCATTAATTTAACACCAGTTCTGCATATTCCTTTACTGAGACTAATTGACATAATAACCTTAAAAACACGTGAGAATCCGATAGTTAACCTATTAAATAAAGACGCAAAAACAGAGCAAACAATGTCTTGTTTCTTTTCCTGAATTTGTTTTCAAGATGGTTGGCATCAATGGGTTATATGTGGAAACCTATAATTAATACCAGATTTCACAGTGGAAATTAATGGGTTAATTTTATCGCTAAAAACTCATTCCACACATATTAATCTCCTATATCGTAATCAAATGCATACTAATTATAAACAAGATGAAAATATACTAAAAAACAACTGGTAAATACTAATATGTCTACAACAGATCCTAGCAAAAAAAAATTAAGTTAATCATACTACGCTAAATCTAGTATATCCAACTCAATTATTCACAAGGACCCCCACCCCCGACCCCTTAGCAAAAAAACAACCTAGGAGATTGTATGCCTATAATTTATAATGGAAGCAATTGGTTTATACCAACAGTTTCCTATATTTGACACTTGTTTTCACTCTGGCATGGTCATGTGTGATGTCATGGGCCACAGTGCGATTTTCGCTTCCAGTGTCTCATATGCACGAGTTTGTCATTGCTTGAAAATATTCCATGCAACTAAAACAGACTATCATTGTTGCTATGTCCGTGTATTGTTTAATTTATTGCCATGTAATTGTCATCTCTGATGATGGCTTATGTAAGCCGAAAGCTTAGATAGGATTAAAAGACATGTATCAATATTGTGATTTTCTTTTGTTTTTTAAGGATAATGTTATTAAAGCTTATCAGGTGATATGAAAAGAGTATACATAAAATAGACAAAAGTTGTCTATATTATTTAATGAAACATGCATCAATATATATATATATATATATATATATTTAGGCAGCATTTTTTCATTGATGCAGGTTTCATTAAATAATATAGACAAGTGTTGTTTATTTATTTTATGTATAGTCTTTTCATATTGATTTCTTATCATGAAAAAGAAATCAAAAAATCATACCATATTTTTATTTATATTCTTTTAATTTATAAGCTTGATTATGAAAGATTTCAATTACATTACAATATATTAAACAATGCACGGAAAAAATGTGTCATGTTGCATGAGCTGCAATGCAATTTTCAATTCCAGTGTCTTGTATGCACAAATTTGTCGTTGCTTGGAAATCTTCAATGTAAACAAAAACAGACTATCATTATTGTTTTGTTCTGTCTATTGTTTAATTTATTGCAATGTAATTGTCATCTTTGATGATGGCTTATGTAAGCCAAAAGCTTAGGATTAAAAAATATGAATCAATATGGTGATTTTCTTTTGTCTTTTAATGATAATGTTATTAAGCTTATCAGATGATATGAAAGGAATTTGCTTAAAATAAATAGACAAAACTTGTCTATATTATTTAATGAAACACACACACACACATATATATATATATATATATATATATATATATATGTATTTAGACATTATTTTTAATAGATGCTCATATTTGAGTAGATTATCTGTTTTTATTATTAAATTGTATATTTACTTATTATTTCCATCTACTGGCTTGAATATTCAAGAAATCTTGTTAGAAAAATATGGACCCTCCAACAGGATTCGAACCTATATATATATATATATATATATATATATATATATATATATGATCTAATGACGGTTTCTTTTAGGGGACACAGGTTTGAATCCTTCCGGAGGGTCTATATTTTTCTAACACACACACACACACCTCGAGCATGACTGTTTCATGCCCGACATAATCTTTTAAAATGACAGTTTGAATCAAAATATATCTTACTATCAAAACGCGGATGTGGTGTCACTTAAAGTTACAAATTTTTAATACTGAACCTTAAAAATAGTAAAATTAACAAAAATAAATGGGAGAAAATAATAAAATGAGTAAAAACAATAATAATGGTCAAAGGGGGGTAATTATAACGCCCAAGAAAAAAAAAGGTAAAAAAAGTGATATCTATATATATAATATACTGGAAAGATAGAAAAAAAACAATAATGGTTTTAAGAGGTAATCTGGTGTAGTGTATTTGAGATTTTTTTTTTTCTTTTTTTCTGCAAGAAGTTATTAATTCACTCCTCTTGTTCAATAATTTAGGGTTGTTTAAGTTCAATATTAAAAATTTGTAACAGTAAGTATCACCACATCAGTGTCTTGATAGCTAGCATATTTTGATATAAACTGTAAAACAGTCATTTTTAACTACGTGCCTGAAGATTGCGTCGTACATGAAACTCACTCATGCTATAGGTGAGAGTTTGTGTGTGTGTGTGTATATATATATATATATATTAGCTCTATCACTGATATTGAGCACTTTCCAATAAGTACTGTGCATATATATAATTGTATATATATATAATACACACACATGCACTTGACAAATATTTTCATTATTTACAATATTATTGTGGATCTAATTTTTTATTAGTATTTTAAACAAATAATTAACAAGAAAATATTTTAATGTTTTGCATGATGCAAATACAGATGGTAAGATTAACGCAATCAACAAGGTTATTGTTTTTAAACAAATAAATTTAAATATTTCATGCTCAAATAAATTATCTTAATGATTAGGAAAAATGTTTTTGAGTAGGGTGGATTTGTTTTATTGCGGGGGGTATTGTTTTTTTTATCTTTTACTTCAGTTCACCCAATACAAGATTTTTAACTACCTTCACTCCTCGGCAATGTTTATTTTATATATACTGTTCTTAATTTAGGGCCATAAATTTTTTCTCTTTAATTAAAAATGTATATATCAGGTATCGATTTTTACACTGTTTTGATATTATAAACAGGACTCCCCACTTCTAAATCAATTTAAAAAAAAAAATCACTATTTTTCTATTCTGACAAATGCCACATTCAGAGAAAAACTAACAAACATTAATCTTCAAAAATTATTTACAAAAAATATTTTCACTATTTTTTTAAGAATGAACCCAACTGTTAAAGTAGCACCAAAATAGTTTTACATTCAGAAGATTTCAATTTTCCTTTTCAAATAAAGCCTTGCATTTTTTTGTTTCTTATAAATTATAAATATTTATTTATTAATTGAATTTATAAAAAAAAGTTAAACATATCTATTGTGCAGCCGTCAGCAATAAATAACTCAAGAAATTGTGAGGACAAAATGTAGGTTTAATTTACAAAGTTTTATCACAGGTCAGGATTAAATAAAAGCTTCTAGCAACCAAGATGACGAGTGTCTTTATATGAAATGAGGGGAAAAAAAAGGAAGAGTTGAAAAAGAAAATTTTAAATCTTCTATGAACTTGTTCATCTCATATATTCTTCACTAAAAAGTCTTTCAGCCATATACACTCAGATTCAACCTGTAAAGAAAAAATAAAAGAAAAAATTAGATACAGATATTATTAGTAAGATTATAAAAACAATCATTAAAGTTCATACATAATGATTTTTTTTTTAATCCTGTAACCCACAGGGGCACCATATGTACTGCAACTGCAGCAGAAGTGGTTCTTTCTTGGGCAAGATAGCCTGACAAAGCCCCACCCTCTCAAGGCTAGTTTTGAATTCAGAGTTTTTACTTCTCCTAGACCAGTTGCCACCCAAGGTTATAGAACCCAATTTGTCATGCTATTTGCCCATAGCTAGAGGGAAAAGAAGAGCATTCATACCTTTCCCAAGGGTATTAATATGTAAGTGTATGTAATGGATCCGACTGGAATTTGAACTCGGCTCTCTGATTATTCAATCCATTGTGCCTCCCAATGATAATTATGCCAAAAAAGATTTTTAAAAAAATATGGTTACAATTTTTACTCTGAAGTAATTGTGTGTTAAATCTTATTCGACATTTCAAATGTCTATCCGTATGGTGGATCATTTTAATATCACCTTTTTTTATCTTCAATAATTTTTATCCTGTCTGAATCTCTGACACAAAGAATTATTATTTATATTATTAACCTTTGGATTATTTTGTTTGGCTTCTTTAATGGCATATCAACTCCTCATGGGTCATTTAATGCTGAAATCTAACTTTCTTGAAAGCTATGAAGTAATAAAAATATGATGTTATTCTGCTTTTACAATTGAATACATAGTACATGATTGTTTGTTTAGTGGCACATGAACTCCTCATGGGTCATTTAAGGCTGAACTTTAATTTTCTTGTGAGCCTTACTAATTTCTTTTAGGAAAATGTATTGCTGGTAATACATTGAGGAATTGGAGAGCCAAGTTTGAATTCCAGTCAAATCCATTACATTCACTTATGTGCTAATACCCTTGGGAAAGACATGACTCCTTTTCTTCTCCCCCTCCACTATGGGTAAATAGCAGAACAGACCAGGTTTTATCGCCTTGGATAGCAACTGGTCTACCACAGAAAGAAATAGCAACCTACTGCAGGACAAAATCTGCCTTATCGGTCATGTATCAAAAGATACGTGATCGCCTAAGTGTTTATCACACATGGTACATAACTGACTGACTTTCCAGTCAAATCCATTACATTCACTTTCATGCTAATACCCTTGAGAAAGATATGAATCCTTTCCTTCTCCACCCAGCTAGAAATGGCAACCTACTACAAGAAAAAATCTGCCTCGTCAGTCGTGTATCGAAAGATACATGACCGCCTAAACGTGTATCATGCATGGTACATAACTGACTGATTGCTGGTAATGTTTTAAAATTTTTTTATTATTTATGAAAATGTATTGTTGGCACCGTCACTATAAAAATGTATTTCTAAACTTTTGTAGTATCTTGACCTCAGTTTGGAATTAACTAATTACCCATAGCTGGGACCATAACAAGTGACCTTTTCAAATTTAAAGTTAACCATTATCTATTCTATATATCCTCATAATCTAAAATTCTTAATCCATAAAACAGCCCCATTCAGTAAACCTCTATCTTGAGTGACTCTTGGGCCTTGTATTGCATGAACAATAGTGTTAAAAAAATCTGGCATTATTTACTAAGATTGGCTCAGTACAATCTTCTGGGTCATCAGATAGCAACTTCTTTTAAAATCAGCACTTGAAATTTTAGCTAATACCTGGGCCCAGTCACTATCAAGACTTTTCAGTTCGACTCGACAATGTCTCTTGATACATGGCTTAGTGGATTAAAGTGCTGGTTAAAATATATCAGGTTTCCTGGCAGTTGTGAGTTCAATCTCTGTGTCTGATAGTGCTGAAAAGTCACATAGTCTGTTTCTTCCATTAAACAAGACTAAGTGACATGAAGGTGAGCAAGTCTGTTGAGTATTAACTGACATGAATTATCTCCCCTGACAAGCAGAGACAGTGGAATGAGATCACTGTACCGGCTGCCCTGCCACAATCTATGGATTGAAGAAAGAGCTCAGTTCAAAATTCCAAGAAGGTTACAACCGCAGACACCTGAAGAAGGCTGGAGACACACCATGGTTGAAAAATGATCAGATTAGGCTCATAATTAATCATAAAGTAGGGCTCACTGGATGTCTCCTCCCACATTCAAATTACAGAAAATAACTGAAATTTCTAAGTCTTATTAGGGTTATATTTTAAACATGAAATTCAGCCCAAACTTGAGAATTTATTAAGCATGACCAGACTCGGCTGATAATTGAAAATCGTGTAATGATAAACTCTCCTTGAAAGTTACAAATATGTTTACTTTATGGAGAAAAATAAAAAAAAAAATTTTTTCCAAGTTTGGTTACTTTTATAATGTAATCTAGAATTCTTTATAATGTAATCTAGAATTCTTACAAATTGAGTTATAAAAAAATGTAATTCTAGCACATCCAAAAAGATTTATTTATTGGAAATCAGCTTGCATATTCTTTCTCTACAAGGATTTTAAATTTAAGATCAAAAGGACTTGAGTTTAAAAAAGATTGGCAATCAATTTGCATATTTTTTCCTTATAAGAGAATCATGACTTTTTTTTTGATTTGGGATTTTAAGAACCTTAAAACTGAAAGTTCTTTAATTCAATCTGTGGTTAATTTAGTTTGCCAGTCATTTGCGATAACTGAAATGGATTAAGTTGCTTGCTTCTACAGTCCTCTGCTCTACCAACAGAGATATCGCAAGTGACCTCTTCCTTATTCTCTCGTTCTCGTCTGTTCGTACGCCGTCATGCCAATGAAAGTTCTACCCACCCGCCTCACAGACTCGCTATTTATGACTGTGTTGGAGGGAACTAATATGTGCATATGAGACATAATTCTTGTTCGCACACAACTTCCTGTTTTATAAATTCAAGCTGGTTTGAATTCTTAGTCTTTTTCATTGTACGTCTGCATGTGAGAAAGGAATTTCAGAATAATCCATTTCACTTTTAATGGCGGTCGCAATCTTTCAACAGGACCTGACACACCAAGCAAATTTGCTTTGCGGGAGGGTTAGTCATCTCGTTCCTCAATCTTTATCTTCTGTTTTCTTAATCCCTGTTCTTTTATTGATCTCTCTCATTAATAATAGTTTTTTTTTTCTCACGTTCTTACATTCTGTAACCCTTTACATCTTAGTGGCTTTATTGCCCTAGCTGAAGTAAAATGATTAAAAAAAAAAAAATTTCATTTGATTGAAGTTCAATTTGTGTGATGGAGTTCTACAATAGACAGGGTAGTGGGAGTCACCTTTTAGCCCAATACACCTTAGTGCTTGGCCACAAAGAAACAAGTCGATTTTATGCTTTTAATCAAAATTTCTGCCAAAGTTTTTCATATATGCACATAGTTTTGTATTCAGAGAGAATTTTAGAATGGATTTTTATTAATCTGACAGATTTTTTATCACTTTAAAATAAATGTTATTATTAGTGGATACTTGTATTTGAGAAGGCATACCATACAGAATATTTATCTATCTTCACCTACCGGCCTGAATGTACTAAAATTAATGAGTATCTACAAATAATGTTTGTGTCAGATTAATAAAAATTTGTTCTAAAATTCTCATAGATAGATATGGATAGAGAGAGAGATATAGACAGATATGGATAGATAGAGAGAGATATAGACAGATATGGATAGAGATATAGATAGAGATATCGACAGATATGGATGGATAGATAGATAGATAGACAGACAGATAGAGATATAGACAAATGAATAGATAGAGATATGGATAGATAGATAGAGATATAGACAGTTATGAATAGATGTGAATGGATAGAGAGATGAAGTGAATGAATAAGATAGCTAATGAATAGATTCAGATACATCGTTAAATAATCCGAGATTAGATAATCTTACCTGCTGACATTTTCTTGTTAAAATAAAGTTTATAAACTTTACTCTCCTATTTAAACAAAAAATGGTTTCATCATGGTCTTCTTTCTGTGTGGTTACTTATTGTTAGAAATTTCATGTCTTGCTAGTCGAGCTCGACGGCGATCAAATGCTCTTGACAATGAAACTATGCCTAGAAATGTAAAAACAAAAAACCCTGCGAAAATCCCTCGATATTTGCGTGACCTCTCATCATCGTAATGCCGTTTCATGAAAAATTCAGATTCCCTTTTCGTAAACATTCGATTTTCGTATGAGGTTGAATAAAAATCATGAAAATCAGCCTCGAATTTAAACCCAGGCCGGCCAGTTGCATCTGTAAAAGCTCGATGATGCACTGTGGCACCTTCGGGCCTTTGTCCAACTCCTCCAGGCTTTATTGGGTTTTTTCGAGGGCCGTCCTTATCTGGTTTTATCCTATGGCGAGGCGAGGCCCCAAAGCGTGGATGCATCATTGTGCCACGGTCGTACAATCGTCTTTTCGTCTGGTTGCCAAGAATTTCATAAGCAGACAAGACTTCTGCAAACTTGGTCGAAGCCTCTTCGGTCTTGTTGATGTCAGGGTGATACTTTTTGGACAATTTATAGAAAGCACTTTTAATCTCCGATTCCTTAGAATTAGGAGACACGCCTAGAACATCGTACAAATCTGACACATTTTTAGATGACAGGTTTGTGTAGCGAGATGAAGACATTCTTCTGTTAATAATAAAAACATTACCATGTCCTATAGTCATCTTCTGTATTTTCCCAAACTGTAAACCTGAGTAGAAAAACCCGTTTTTCAGTAAATTTGGGGATTGTCGTTGCCCCATGATTATTTGTTTCTTTGTAACACTCGTGTTGCTGTCGACATCTAATAAAAGTTTTTTGGTAACTAGAGCTTTTGTGAATGGAGATAAATTACTGTAAAGGGCATTACATGCCCTAAAAGAACTTATATTATTCATAACATGGTTGTGGTATGTCCCTAATTTTAAAAGAAACTTCGGTAATGTTTGCAAACAACCACGCTATGACCTCCTCGATAGGAGCATAACTCTCCTATGTCCTTCGATATTATTATTTTTAAATGTTTCCTTATGTAATACTAAATTTGCAGGAATTTAAACCAAAGATAAATAGCGATTCATTTACAAAAATTCAAATTATAATTTTTAATATGTTTTAATGAAACAAGACATTACTGGAACGAATTTGAATACTAAACTAAAACTTGCTAACTTTACAATTCGGTAAGCAAAGATGGCGTCAGGTGGTAGACCCGAACGACAAGCTCCTCCAGAAATTGTATGTTTTATTTGATAAATATTATTTTTTATTTATTTTCTTTTTGCCTATTGAATTATTAAAAGTGTATAAATAGATCATGATGCTTAAGTGCTATTTTAACATAGATATTTTGAGTATTTAATTAAAATAACTGGTTGAATGCTAATCGATTTGGGGTCTACACACACACGTGTTTAAAAAATAAATAATGATCATTAAAAAAGAAAGTATCTCCAAAAAGATCGCAAAGGCCACAAACTTGACAAAAACAAATTTTTATCGTCAAAATGTTTGTTATTATTAATAGGAGAGACCAAAGTATTTTAGGTTATTTTATTAAATTTTTAATCCTTTCTAACACGTTTAAAATTTTGGTTAAAAATCTTGTTTTTCTTGCGTCAGCGGGTGGATCAAAGATTCCCTACATGGTAAATTTAGTATCTTTTTTGCGGTGAAAAACACGTTGATTTGGAATTTGACTTTTTTTTAGAATTTTAATTAGAATTAAGTTTTAAATCCTTTTTAAATTCTGTATTAATTAATACAACCCTTTTAGTTGATATTTAAGTGAAAGCTATTTATTTACTTATCATAAATTGAAAAGCTTAGTACATGTCATCAAACACTAGTATTTTAAAATGAATTTTGAAATTTTGTATCTGTATAAATGTGGCATTTTTTTTGTCAGTATGGATTATATCATACACATCATCAGAAAATAAGAGCGATAGTGAATTTAAATCCAGACAGTATCTAAAATTCAATAAAACATTAAATTATGGAGGATATTTTCTTAAATTTTTAGGAATACTGAGTACTCAAAAATTAAAGTGCTCACATTATAATCAGTTATTTTTTTTTTACAGCTAAAGCATCCATAGAATAATATTAGAAAAACATCAGTTTGATGTTTGTACATGCCAACAAATTAAATAAATAAATTGCTACTGCTGTGTTAAAAAAATGCATTTCTTCAATATTTTAAACTTAAAATAAATCCTATTTGTTTCAAGTCAGATTAATTATACTTTAAATCAGTTAATAATAAAGTTTCAGAAAAGTATATTTTATTTTTGGAAGATTTTTTAATAAAGAGAATTACATTGATGAAAGATTAGCGGATTAGCGACCTTTTTTAGTTAAAATTTTAGTAGATACCTTTCAGAAATTTCCTTTTGTAACCAATATTGAATCATTTTTGAAAATTTGAGAAAAAAATGGATAAATGTTCATCACTCACCAAATGAAATAAAAACTCCCAGTGACCCCCTTTCAACATAACAGAGCCCACCACTTTCTACTATGGTACCTAGACTTTATGAATTTAAGTACAGTACTAGAATGGTGGCAAGGTCTCACCGTTTTACATTTGAAATGGTTAGATGTAACCGTAAGTTCTATGCTAAGTAGTTTCTTCTCTTACAATTTTTGCTTGTGGAACTCTCTTCCGGCTTCTTATTTTCCCGTCAACTTTGATCTTCAAAACTTTAAATCGTTATCTACTGTCTTCTTAATTTTTGTTTTTTTATAGTTCTCTCCCATATTCTCTAAGACTCGGTAACCCCTTGCAACCTAGTTGCTTGATTGCCTTGCTTGGGGTAAAATGATAAAAAAAAATAAACTAAAAGAATTGACACTTAAAAAATCATTAGTAAATCAAAAATACCATATATGTGAACCAACAAAGTAACTTACAAAGCTTAGCAGTTAGAAGATAAAATTGGGAAGGTGGCAAAAAAAAAAAAAAAAAAAAAACACAATTTGTTTTTTGATATTCCAACAGTGAATGGATCAATAAGAGATATGTTGGCATTTAATTGATTCCATGGCTTCTTAATGAGAAAGCAATTTTAAAAGATAAAAATGTTTTTATTATTTTTAAAATGAATAATATTTTCATTTTGCAGAAATCCCTGTAATTTTTTTCTTTCCTGCTATGCAGTCATCTATCCAACAATATGGATATCATGCTATCTAAAAAAATATACATATAATATATAAATAAATTTATATATATATATATATATATATATATATAAATTTCAGAAATGAAACTAGAAAACACATTTGCTCAATTATATTAATCTATTAAAAAATATACAAAATGTTTTTTCTTTTTAGTTTTAAATGAAGAAGAGGCTCGTAAATACACACGAAAGTAAGTAGCATTTTTTTTAACACAATTTTTCAGTGGTTTTTAAATATATTTTTACGTACTTTGTGAATTTTTTTTTAAAAAGTAAAAACTAAATCTGAAAAAAAAACTTCTGCTTTCATGTGGTTTTTGAGGACAGAATTTCTTTTTCTTGTTGAGATATCTGGTATATTGCTACAATATATGGTATGGTGTTCCTACTATATATGTGGAGTTTCTCAACAAAATCCAAATAAGGGTCTGTAATGTTATCAGTTCTGATCTGGCATCTATACTTCAGTCACTTTCCCACCACTGTCATGTGGATTCCCTCTCTCTTTTCTATAAATATTTTCCTGGCAATTGTACTAATTGGTATCTACCTTGGTACCTCAACCACATTAATTGAAGCATACTACTAGATTGGCAATTAGGTCTCATTGTTTTACTGTTGAAATTGTTTGATGTAACCATATGTTTTATTCTTGTTTGTGAGACTCTCCTCTAGTTTCTTGCTTTTCCCTGCCATGTACAAATTTAACTCCAACATCACTCACAGTTACTATATATACTCATGGATAGGTCGCACTTTTTTACCAAAAATTTCACCAAATATTAGGGGTGTGACCTGTCCTCACGACATAAATGTAAAACAACACTACCTTGTCATCGTGATTTCTGAGAAATCAGAAATGATACCCATAAACACTAAAGCTGTGACTTTTCTCCATATAGAAACAATTTATCTATCATATATACTGACACACTGCTTTAAACTTACCTCATGCTGATAGATTCACATATCCATCACAGTAAATAAATAAAATTATAAAATATTTATTGATCCATAAGTCATCGTTTGACCAGGGCCCTTGCACTAAATTGACATAGAAACCCTGAAAATGCAGACATAAGTTAAGGAACCACATGTAGATGTTTATTGGCAAAGAAAAATAGTCCCACCATTTATCCTGTAATATATATATAATTTATCAAAAATATATCTGTCTATATTTCTGAGATGAGGTATTATGTACATTATTTGGACTATTGTCCTCATCTTTGTTGCCATATATATCACAACGTTTCGGCCGTTGTACACTCCGGCCTTCTTCAGGTGGTTGGAATGTCGAACCGAACTCTTTATTTTGCTCACTGGTGTAGACTGTTCTAGTTCCACGTGCCATGTTTAATGAATGTCAGTTATCAGTTATTCTTGAGGACACATGGCACAGTGGATAAAAGCATTGGTTAGATCCAGTGACAGGACCCAAAGGGTGTGAGTTCAATACCCGGCTAAGGCAGTGGAGAACTTTCAGAGGGAAAATTAACAGGAAATAACTGATAACTGACATTCATTAAACATGGCACGTGGAACTAGAACAGTCTATGCCAGTGAGCGAAATAAAGTGTTCGGTTCAACATTCCAACCACCTGAAGAAGGCCGGAGCGTACAACGGCCGAAATGTTGTGATAAATATGGCGACAAAGATGAGGACAATAGTCCGAATAATGTAAATAATGTTATCAAAAATATGTTGGAAAATCTGACTTAAAGAAATGAAATATATTCTTTATGAGATAATTTTCTTTAATGGTTGTTTCATATAACATTAAAAGGCGTTAAGTGTTATTTACAAATAATAAAGTGCATGAATCTAGTACCCAAAACGTTTGCACTATTTTGCAGTGGGCAGTGATACAGTTGGTAGCCAAATTTATAGTTTATAATTTTAATTGTTGCAAACCCTAATCAAGAGTAAAAGAAAGTTATGAAGCAGGTTTTAAATTAAAAGTACTAAATTATACAGAAGAACATTGAAATTGATTTGCAAAAGTATATTAATAATTGTAAGTTTTGAAATAAAGGTAGATATTTGATAATTCTTAGGTTTAAAAAGGGCTGCGTAACTCCCCAGATTATAGTGCGACCTATCTGCGAGTCAAAAGTAAACCATCAATTATTAAGCCATAAAGTAGGGGTGTGACCTATCTGGTGGGGGTAACCTGTCTGCGAGTATATACAGTAGTTGTTTAACAGTGGGAATTACAGCTGATGACCTGCACATTTGAAAGATTTAATAAAGAAAATGTGCTCTCTGGCAGGGTTTGAATCTGCCCCACACCCCTTTGTAGGAGAAACCATCGTCTGATCTGGCATGCTTTAGGCTTCTCAGGCACAGAGAGTGTCACAGCCTAGCAAGGTTCAATTTCCCTTCTGAAGAATTCACATCCGCTCGTTCAGATCTTGAAAGCCTATATTTGTTCATCTCTTCCTGAATGCTGTTCTTCTATTGTCCTTTCTTCTCACTAAAGGCATCGGATTCTTTTTCAAATATAACCCCTTGCATTTTACTGGCATTACCCCCTTTTCTTAGGGGTGAAATGATAAAAAAACCCATTGAAATGCTTTGTTACCTTGACAGATCAAGCATCTGACAGCCCGATGCAACCAGGTTTGACAGTTTTCACCTGTCTCAACCCACTGAGGGAGGTGCTTCTGGTCAAGTGTGTGGGCTTCTCTATAGCACACAGTTGTCCACCAAAATCAAATTCATGTTTTCTTTGACTTGTCCATCCACGTCCACAACCCACACACCTCTGTGACTCTTGCTCACAACTCTTTGGGAGTAGGTTGGTCTTCACAGCCATCTCTCAAGGGGAAGAGAGGATGATGTGGGCGGCTGCCAATGTACCTTGCTCGTTATTCCATTCCATTTTATGTAGTGATCTTTTTAATCTTTTTTGCAGTTCACGAATGATTGAAATTCAGTCTTCGTTGTCAGAGCGAGCGATAGAATTGTTGGCGTTACCAGAAGATCAGAGCTGCTTTATTTTGGATATTGGGTAAGTCTTGTCTCTGGCTCCAACTTTTTGGATCCCAATGCTATATTATAGACTATTGACAATGGAAAATTTTCTGTTCATCTCACCTTACTTTATGAGGGGGCCATAGTTGGAGCTTTTTTTTCTAAGAGAAAGTGAGGAGGCATGTCAACTGTTTGGGCAAAATAAAAAAACAAAACCAAAGCATGTTTCAAATGACAATAACTGGCGATGATTCCTCTTTTCTTTTTCACTTTATGATTAAACAAAATATTTAAAAGTTGTTTTATGTCTTCTCAGATTAAAGAGAAGACAAGGAATTCAAAAAAGAAGAAAAGACTTTTAAGTGTGCTTTGTTTGGTAAAAGAATATATATATATATATATATATATATATATATATATATAATGTGAAAAGTGTGTGTATATAAATATAAATAAATATATATATATAATTATTTATATATTATATGCGCGGTACTTATTAGAAAGCGCTCAATATCAAACGACCCTCTCCAGGTTTTGAATTCAGAGTTTTCCTTCTCCTAGACCAGTTGCTATCCCAGGCTATAGAACCCAATCTGTCCTGCTATATACCCATAGCTGGTGGGAGAAGAGGATTCACACCTTTCCCAAGGGTATTAGCATGTAAGTGAATGTAATGGATTTGACTGGAATTAACTCGCTTCTCCAATTCCTCAATCCACACCACTATCCATTACTCCACCATTTTTCCACACACACACACACATATATATATATATATATATATATATATATATATATATATATATATATATATATATATATATATATATATGCATGCATGCATGCGTAAACATGTGTGTATGTATGTCAGAGATGTATGAGTGGTGTTCTGACGACAATTTTTTCTCCCACTACCATAAAACACTGATATACACCATCATAAATAAATCCAAAATTTCAAAAATTAATCAGTTTGTCTGACGATCACAGAGAGTGTGAAACCCAGGGTTACAAACACACATCAATCCAACAAATTATATATATATATATAGTGGACATTGAAGTCAACACCCAGAGGCGCTAATTCCATTTAACAGGAAACAGACTGTCACCACTGGGTGTTGATCTCAATGACCACTTTTATATTTACATTCGCTCTATTCCTGATATTGAGCACTTTAACCTATTGATATAGCAGACTAAAAATATATTTTATTTTATTTTATATTTATATATATATATATATATATATATATATGTATGTAATATATATATGGGGGGTAATGTTTTTTTAGGAATTCTCCTCACCCCTGCCCAGTTTTTTGTTTAAACTTCAATTTTTGCTTCATTATAATACTTAGTGATAAAGTGTAACAATATATAGATGTTATTAAATAAGAAAATAAAGGAAAAATCTTACTACCTGGAATATCCACCCATTGGATAAATTGCTCCAGCTTGATATGGTTTCAAACCTTATACTTCAGCCCTTAATCTAATTTGATGTAAAAATATATTAATAAGTTCAAATATTTTCTTTCAAAGTATCAACTGCTCAAAAAGTTTTTTTTTTTTTATACCCCAAATTTAAACCTGTAGAGGTAGTGATATAAATTAAAATTATTGATTTATTGTATGAAAACATTCATTCATCAGATTAAACTGAGAAATCAGCGAGGTTTAAAATCTTTCTTCCAAATCTTCATTAAAGTACATCATCATCATCATCAGCTGTTTCTAGACCAAATCTTGTCTTTGACTGACCACTATCAAGGTAATGCTTTAAATCTTCAATTAGGTTGTACACAATACATGCAAATGGTGATTTGGGCTCTTCTAAGTTTGTCAAGCCTTTTATTAAACGAATGCAGTTCTCATTGATGAAATGTAGATTGAGATGTAAATTATAGTATGATATATTGTGCAGTTAATTATCTAGAACTAGCAGTAGAGCCTGGTGTTGTCCGGGGATGTAACAGTAAGAGATAGATCAAGTATTGACCATCATAAAGACTGAAAAATAAAATTGACAAAGATTATTGTTTAAGGTTGATGGACACGCATGTCTTAATTAGGTTTTTTTTTTTTTTTTTACGAATTGGTCAATCAAACTCAAAAAAGTCTACCGATTGAATAGAATTTTATTATAAACAATTGTCTTGTAAATGGAATTTTTAAAGCATTCTGAATGTAAAATAAAAAAAAAAAAAGTGTGCAAGACAATAAGAAACACTACCTGCCAAAAAAAAAAGTGAAGTTTTGTTGAAATTGGTTGAAAAATGTAAAATCTGATCCCATATATAAACGAACACACACACAAACAACCTGGGTTTTATAATAAGTATAACTCGATATGAGTTGTCCCCCTTTCATTCTCTAAGCGATGCCTCTTGATCGTGTTTTCAAATTGATTTTGTGCAAAAACAATTGTGTTTTTTTCTAATTTTTGGCACTGTCAGAACCACCATGTAGGTAATTTTTTTTAGTCCTGTGAAATTTTTGTTGAAATTGGTTGAAAAATGTAGGAAATCCGATCCAATATATAAATGAACACACACACAACCTGGGTTTTATAATAAGTATGATTCCAATACTAATTTGGTCTATTGCAAAGCCATAGCTTTTTTCTTGTTTGTAGAATCCTTCATATAATTGAACATATGAAGAATGACATTTGGATAAATTGAACCATGAATTGGGTTGCTTCACTAGGGAGGAGTAAAAATATTTGAGAAATCTTGTTAGAAAAATATACACGGTTCAAACCTGCACCCTTTCATATAAACCGTCATTAGATCTGATGTGTTTTGACCTCTCAGCCACAAGGAACCTCCTGATCAAGCAAAGCCAGAATTGTGCTTTTGGAGATGGGGAGTACATATTTTTCTATAAAGATTTCTCAAATATTCAGGCCAGTAAATTTGAAATAAATAAATATACTCTTTATTAAATAAATAAAAACGGAGTATATACTCAACTATTGGTATCCATTAAAAATAATATTTAAGCAAAGAAATTAGAAATATATACAGGCTGAGAATCCTTTATTCGAAATTCTTGGGACTGGAAATGCTTCAGTTTTCAGAGTTTTTTTCAAATTTGGAATCCAGGCTATTTAATTTGTATCTAGCATCTATAAAATAGGGTCAGGTTGGGAATGGAACCCAAGCATAAGCACAATATCACTTCACATTTCATAACACAGTTTATACATATACCCTGAAGGTAGTTTTATATAAAAGATTTTGTATACATACAGATACTAGACATGTAATGCTCACACGGATTTTTAAGTGGGGAAATTAAGATTTCACATAAAAATAATGTTTTGTACTTTCTGTATGTGTATAAAAATACATGGTCACTAGTCACCAAAAAATATATAAATGCAGGACTTTCTGACATTTTGAATATCTTTACTGAGCATGAAACACCTGGTAAGTAATCCATGAATGAAGGTGTTGCTGTGATGATCGCTAACGAAAAACTGGTGCCAACATCAGCTCCGTAGCTGGGCTGGGGAACCCCCAACTGGGGCAGGTGAGGTCACAGCAGCTGCACTTCACCTAGGAACCTTCCAAGTGCTTTCAGAAATTTTACATTTCTGGGAAGTCATGTCAGCACCTGAAAAACATTCAGAAAAAAGATACTCAACCTATATGAAGAAAAATATACTGATCTTTTAAAAGATTTCAGTTATCTGTTTGGATTGGTATTGCTTTTATGTCCATTGTCTTTTTCATGTTGAATTGTATATGGTCTATGTTAATTATGTTTTATGAATATGTCCTGAAGATGGTCTATTAGACCGAAACGTCCGATGTTGACATTAAACATTAAAACAGCATAATCGCATATTAGGATTTTTGTTTGTTTTTTCAGTATATTTTTCTTCATACTGTCGGATCTATATCCATATATTTGCTTACATATATATATATATTTAGACAACATGTTTTCATTGAGATATGTTTCATTGAATAATTTAGACAAGTATTCTCTACTTATTTTCAATTGGATCCTTTCATATGCATGGACAAACTTCTTGGTGTCATTATTGAAGGAAAAAAGAAAATTACCGTGTTGATACATATTATTTTATTCTGTGTACTTTCAACATTAGCCTAATGTTATCGTCAGGGTGTTTATTTTGAGACAAATATTGTAGTGAGATTGGCTTAAGTAACACTTCAGGGGAGGTAACTAACTTATGATGTTGTAAAGAGTTTTTTAAGAAAGAGATGAGTATTAAAACTATTAGTACAAACCTTGGTATTTAAAACTATTTATTATAAACATTTTAAAAAATTTATGCAGTATTCATAATTAATTTTATTAAGATTTGGTTTCAATTTTTTAATATAGAAAGCTTTGAGAATTTTTAGTTTATGTTTATTATTTTCATGAAAATGTATATATGTATTTTCTACAAGAATTTATCTGAATTGTGAACGTGGACAGGTATGTTGTTGTAAATGTTTAGAAATGTTGGATGCATCATACAAATGAAAACTCACCCACCAAGACAACATAGTCATAATGTGGCCAACATAAATATTACTTTTTCTGTTGGAAATACAATCTCCCAGAGGACATTTAAATTTATATAAAATATTGGTTTTCTGTAACACTGTAGTTGATGGGGAAGAGTCATTACAAATGATTGAATTAAATATACTAGTATCTGTCTATATTTCTGAAATGAGGTATTATGTACATTATATTTACATTATTCGGACTATTGTTCTCATCTTTGTCACCATATTTATTACAATGTTTCGGCCGTTGTACGCTCCGGCCTTCTTCAGGTGGTTGAAATGTTGAACTTAGCCCTTTATTTCGCTCACTGGGGTAGACTGTTCTAGTTCCACGTGCCATGTTTAATGGATGTCAGTTGTCAAGGACACATGGCACAGTGGATAAAGGCGTTGGTTAGATCCAGTGACAGGACCCAAAGAGTGTAAGTTCAATGCCCGGTTAAGGCAGTGGAGAACTTTCCGAGGGAAATTAACAGGAGATAACTGATAACTGTTTTTTTTTTTTTTTTTTTTTTTTACTAAGGTCTGTGGTGGAAATGTTAGTATTAACTTTTTTAGGATATTTTCATCTTGTTAGAATGTATTTGGTTGAGATATAAAAGATTAATATGTTTGGGGTTAGTTGAAGGAGAATTATATTCTATTTGTTTAGTATAGAAATCTCGGATAAAAACATTTGTTCATAAATGATATAATTAGAGAAGTTATTAATTTTATATTTTTTAGTTCATTGTAGAAAATCTGTTTTGTGGATGAATTAATTTTTGGATGGTTTATTAGGGTTTTTATAATTGCTATTTTATAGTAATTTGGACATTCATTTTTATAATTGAGGTTGTACGAGTTTATGATGGTAATTTTTTATATGGGGAGATAGTGAATTTATTATTGTTAGTATGCTAATGTTGAAAGTATTCTGAATAAAATAATATATATCTACATGGTAATTTTCTCTCTTCGTTTAATGACACTAAAAAGCTTGTCTGTGAATATGAAAGGATCCAACTGAAAATAAGTACACAAAACTTATTTAAATTATTCAATGAATCATGTCTCAATATATAATTATATAGTGATTTTCCAAGCGTAGCTAAGATATGGCACAAGGCCAAAAGTAGGGGGCACCCAGTGAGGATCAAACTCACTACTCAGTCGTAATTGATCTAGCAAGACAAGCTTTCTAACCATTACACCATGCAATATATAATTATATATATGTACAATTTTCTGTTTAAAATACTGTATTTCATGACATATGATGTCCTCCATCTTATTATTACAGTATTATAGGTGCAAGTACTGGTTGTTACTGGGTAAACATTATTAGGCTACCAAATACTTCAATTTTTCATAGACTTCTCTATTTATATTTAATATTAAAGTATTATAAACTTAGGTGCAAGTACTGGTAGTCTACAGCATCTAGGTAAACATTAACGTGTTAAGATGTATCCACTTTGCATATAAGATGGGGGTTGGGGATATTTCTGTTTTTTAAGCATGTCTTACATTCTATCAAATATAGTGGATCTTGTTCTTTGAAGGGAACGAATTAACTGTCCAAAATATTGGTATTTTGACATCTGTAGTCTTATCTCAAGATAAGCAAAAGTATTCTCTTAGTCTATATAAGAGAGTGGTGGGGCACCTCAAGGTGTTGTAATGGTTAGCAAGCTTATCTTGCTAGAACGATTACGACTGTGTAGTGAGTTCGATTCTCACTGGGTGCCCCCTACTTTCGGCCTTGTGCCACATCTAAGTTATGCTTGGAAAATCAATATAAGATGGTATCATTGATTTTACTAGTTGTCATTAATATTTGTGTTTTCTTTTACAGGTGTGGTTCTGGCTTAAGTGGAGAATGCCTGACAGAAAATGGCCACTTTTGGATCGGGCTTGATATCAGTTCTGCAATGTTAGGTAATATGTTTTTTTTTTTTTTTCTGCTTTCATTTCATTGCCTGCATTGTAATACATAAGGTTCAACTGGAGAGAATATTTAATACCTAATGTGATTTTTTCTCATAACTCAAAAAGAAAACCTGACAGATGATAGAATGAACTTAAAAACCATCCCAACACAATCACTTTAACTTATCAGTAATTCTTATATATTTTTGATCACTGACAATTTTATTTTCTTTATTGATTTTTTGGAGGGGTGGGGGTTTATTTATTTACATTTTTAATTTCTTTTTTAATTTATTTATTGTGATGTCGGATTTTCTTTTTCTTTATTTAAAGTGATTTTCAGGGTTTTTTTTTTTTACTTATCTATTTAGTTATTTTTTGAGGAAGTTTTTTTTATTTACAGTAATTTGTGGGCGTTTCTTTTTTTCCTTTCTTTAGTGATTTTCTATAGTAAAATCAGTAACAATGAAAATAATAATTATGCATATAATAATAATAATATTCCCCTATTGTTTTTTTTTTTTTAATGCCATGTCCCTTCACGATGTAGGCATTTATAGCTCTCCACATTCCATAAACTCATTAGGTGCCTGTTTCTAATAACTTTTTTTGGGAATGGTAAGAGTAGTGTTCTGGTTACTCGCTGTTTCTTTTTCCTACAATTTGAATTAGTTCTTTTTGTCTTTCTCTTGACTTGTTCTGCCACCTTTAAGATTGCAGTCTGCTCTGCTATTTAACTCTTAATAATCTTCTTTTATGTGTGCACTTTTGACCATTTACCTTTACAAGATATATTATGCCTATCATAAATATTTCCACAGTTTCCCATATTTTGTTGCTCTTTAGCAACTTTTAGTGACCCTTACCTTTCTTCTTTGTCCTTGTTCTGCTATCCATTCAAACTCAAACTCGTCAAACATTGTAGGTTAAAAACTCCATTAAATTTGTTCCCTCTGCTTCTCTTGCCTTCCATTCATATGTCCTGTAGTCCTGTGAGTGTTAAACTCTCCATGCCCTCTTTCTTGTTGCTCTAAGTAACTTTTGACCCTTTACCTTCCTTCTTTGTCCTTGTTCTGCTATCCATTCACTCAAACTCGTTAAGTAGGTTCCTCACTGTTTCCCTCTGCTTCTATTGCCTTCAATATGTCATGTGAGTGTTAAATTCTCCATGCCCTTTTCTTGTTGCTCTAAGTAACTTTTGACCCTTTACCTTCCTTCTTTGTCCTTGTTCTGCTATCCATTCACTCAAACTCGTTAAGTAGGTTCCTCACTGTTTCCCTCTGCTTCTATTGCCTTCAATATGTCATGTGAGTGTTAAATTCTCCATGCCCTCTTTCTTGTTGCTCTAAGTAACTTTTGACCCTTTACCTTCCTTCTTTGTCCTTGTTCTGCTATCCATTCACTCAAACTCGGTTAAGTGGGTTCCTCACTGTTTTCCTCTGACTTCTTTGCCTTCAATATGTCCTGTTCTGCTATCCATTCTCCCATTCCCTCTTTCTTGTTGCTCTAAGTTTTGCTCTTTTTTCCTTCCTTCTTGTCCTTGTTCTACTTCCTTCTTTGTCCTTGTTCTTTGCCTTAAATCCATTCCTCAAACTCGTTTTGAAGTAGGTTCCTCCTTGTTCTGCTATCCATTTCCCTCTCTGCTTTTCCTTTCTCTTGCCTTCAATATGTCCTGTGAGTGTTAAATTCTCCATTCCCTCTTTCTTGTTGCTCTAAGTAACTTTTGACCCTTTACCTTCCTTCTTTGTCCTTGTTCTGCTATCCATTCACTCAAACTCGTTAAGTAGGTTCCTCACTGTTTCCCTCTGCTTCTATTGCCTTCAATATGTCCCCAGAGTGTTAAATTCTCCATGCCCTCTTTCTTGTTGCTCTAAGTAACTTTTTGACCCTTTACCTTCCTTCTTTGTCCTTGTTCTGCTATCCATTCACTCAAACTCGTTAAGTAGGTTACTCGCTGTTTCCCTCTGCTTCTCTTGCCTTCAATATGTCCTGTGAGTGTTAAATTCTCCATGCCCTCTTTCTTGTTGCTCTAAGTAACTTTTGACCCTTTTCCTTCCTTCTTTGTCCTTGTTCTGCTATCCATTCCTCAAACTCGTTAAGTAGGTTCCTCACTGTTTTACCCTCTGCTTTATTGCCTTCAATATGTCATTCTGAGTGTTAAATTCTCCATGCCCTCTTTCTTGTTGCTCTAAGTAACTTTTGACCCTTTACCTTCCTTCTTTGTCCTTGTTCTGCTATCCATTCCTCAAACTCGTTAAGTAGGTTACTCACTGTTTCCCCTCTGCTTCTATTGCCTTCAATATGTCCTGTGAGTGTTAAATTCTCCATGCCCTCTTTCTTGTTGCTCTAAGCAACTTTTGACCCTTTACCTTCCTTCTTTGTCCTTGTTCTGCTATCCATTCACTCAAACTCGTTAAGTAGGTTACTCGCTGTTTCCCTCTGCTTCTCTTGCCTTCAATATGTCCTGTGAGTGTTAAATTCTCCATGCCCTCTTTCTTGTTGCTCTAAGCAACTTTTGACCCTTTACCTTCCTTCTTTGTCCTTGTTCTGCTATCCATTCCTCAAACTCGTTAAGTGGGTTACTCGCTGTTTCCCTCTGCTTCTCTTGCCTTCAATATGTCCTGTGAGTGTTAAATTCTCCATGCCCTCTTTCTTGTTGCTCTAAGTAACTTTTGACCCTTTACCTTCCTTCTTTGTCCTTGTTCTGCTATCCATTCACTCAAACTCGTTAAGTAGGTTCCTCACTGTTTCCCTCTGCTTCTCTTGCCTTCAATATGTCCTGTGAGTGTTAAATTCTCCATTCCCTCTTTCTTGTTGCTCTAAGCAACTTTTGACCCTTTTACCTTCCTTCTTTGTCCTTGTTCTGCTATCCATTCCTCAAACTCGTTAAGTAGGTTACTCGCTGTTTCCCTCTGCTTCTCTTGCCTTCAATATGTCCTGTGAGTGTTAAATTCTCCATGCCCTCTTTCTTGTTGCTCTAAGTAACTTTTGACCCTTTACCTTCCTTCTTTGTCCTTGTTCTGCTATCCATTCACTCAAACTCGTTAAGTAGGTTACTCACTGTTTCCCTCTGCTTCTCTTGCCTTCAATATGTCCTGTGGTGTTAAATTCTCCATTTGTCCCTCTTTCTTGTTGCTCTAAGTAACTTTTGACCCTTTACCTTCCTTCTTTGTCCTTGTTCTGCTATCCATTCACTCAAACTCGTTAAGTAGGTTACTCGCTGTTTCCCCTCTGCTTCTCTTTTGCCTTCAATATGTCCTGTGAGTGTTAAATTCTCCATGCCCTCTTTCTTGTTGCTCTAAGCAACTTTTGACCCTTTTACCTTCCTTCTTTGTCCTTGTTCTGCTATCCATTCCTTGCCTCAATTAAGTGAGGTTATGTTGCTCTAAGCAACTGTTTTGTCCCCTCTGCTTCTCAAACTTGCCTTCAATATGTCCTGTTGCCTTTAAATTCTCCAACTTTTTTGACCCTCCTTTTCTTTGTCCTGTTCTCTATCCATTCAAAACTTTAAGTAGGTTACCATTCTGCTTCTCTTGCCTTCAATTCCTTCCCATGCCCTCTTTCTTGTTGCTCTAAGTAACTTTTTGACCCTTTACCTTCCTTCTTTGTCCTTGTTCTGTTATCCATTCCTTCTCGTTAAGTTGGTTACTGTTTCCTCTGCTTCTTCCTTCATTCTCCATTCCCTCTTTCTTGTTGCTCTAAGCAACTTTTGACCCTTTTTTCCTTCGTTAAACTCAAACCTTTAAGTGGTTACCTTGTTTCCCTCTTTCTTTGCCTTCAATATGTCCTGTCCTGTTAAATTCTCCATTCCCTCTTTCTTGTTGCTCTAAGCAACTTTTGACCCTTTACCTCCTTTCTTTGTCCTTGTTCTGCTATCCATTCACTCAAACTCGTTAAGTCCTGTAGGTTTTCTCCTGTTTCCCCTCTGCTTCTCTTGCCTTCAATATGTCCTGTTCTTTTTGTTAAATTCTCCATGCCCTCTTTCTTGTTGCTCTAAATTCCTCCACTTTTTGTTGTCCTTTACCTTCCTTCTTTTGTCCTTGTTCTGCTATCCATTCCTCAAACTCGTTAAGTAGGTTCCTCACTGTTTCCCTCTGCTTCTATTGCCTTCAATATGTCATGTGAGTGTTAAATTCTCCATGCCCTCTTTCTTGTTGCTCTAAGCAACTTTTGACCCTTTACCTTCCTTCTTTGTCCTTGTTCTTCCATTCACTAAACTCCATTCTCCCCTCAAACTCGTTATTGTCCTGTGAGGTTACTCTCCTTTCTTTTGTTTCCCCTCCATGTTCTCATTTGCCTTCAATTCTCCTTCTGCTTCTCATTGTCCTGTCTTTGTTAAATTCTCCATTCCTGTTCCTTTCTTGTTGTCCTTTCCCTGTTCCTTCCTCACCTCTGTTCTCCTTTTGTTGCTTTTCAATTCTCCCATTCCCAAACTCGTTTCTTGTTGCTCTAATATGTCCTGTGAATTCTTTTCTTTGACCCCCTTTACCTTCCTTCTTTGTCCTTGTTCTGCTATCCATTCACTCAAACTCGTTAATATATCCTGGTTCCTCCATTTAATTTTCTTGTTTCCTATAACTTTTGACCTTTACTTTTTCTTCTTGCCTTCAATATGTCCTGTGAGTGTTAAATTCTCCATGCCCTTCTTTCTTGTTGCTCTAAGCAACTTTTTGACCCTTTACCTTCCTTTTTTGTCCTTGTTCTGCTATCCATTCACTCAAACTCTCGTTAAGTCCTGTGAGTGTTAAATTTACTCAAAAATTTTTCCCCTCTGTCTTCTATTGCCTTCAATATGTCCTGTGTTTTAAATTCTCCATGCCCTCTTTCTTGTTGCTCTAATGCAACTTTTTGACCCTTTTTGACCTTCCTTCTTTGTCCTTGTTCTGCTATCCATTCCTCCAAACTCGTTAAGTGGGTTACTCGCTGTTTCCCTCTGCTTCTCTTGCCTTCAATATGTCCTGTGAGTGTTAAATTCTCCATGCCCTCTTTTCTGTTGCTCTAAGTAACTTTTGACCCTTTACCTTCCTTCTTTGTCCTTGTTCTGCTATCCATTCACTCAAACTTTGTCGTTAAGTGGGTTACTCGCTGTTTCCCCTCTCTGCTTCTCTTGCCTTCAATATGTCCTGTAGTGTTAAATTCTCTATGCCCTCTTTCTTCATTATGCGTCCCAGAAATTTCTGTTGTCTCTTTTTGGTTGCAAATACCAGTATCCTTGTAGTTCTTTATTTCCTTCAAACTTTTACCTTGTTCACATGTTCTTTCCATGTTATTCTTAACACTTTTAACAATGCTTGTTTTAATTCCTGACCACTAACAATCCCTTTCTTCTTGATTCTTTTAATGCACTGCTTACCATTTTAGTGCTGAGGCAAAAGTAAAAAAAACACCAAATTTCTACTCTGTCATTAAATCCCCACCATGCACACACACACACACACACACTCAGCTAGCAGTCATTTATCAGTACAGAAAATGACTAATGGTTGTCAATGATAAGGGAAAAAACAACACATCAAAATGTTGACTGTTACCATACAGTCAGTAATAAGAGACTACTTGGATTGTTGTTGTGTGTGTTTTTACCTATTGCTACAATTTACTAAGTTACTAGATACTCTCTGTCACCAATTATAAATGTCATCTGGAATAGTCATTTTTCAACTTGTAAAATAAGCAGGGAATGTTTTATATTCCTGCAAGAAAATAATCATTTCACAGAAAAAATCATTTGAAAGATTATAAGTGTGTCATACTAAATCAACACCATTGCTGGGTATAACGATAAATTACGTCTGGCGTCCTGGGTATGACGACAAACTACGTCTGGCGTCCTGGGTATGACGACAAACTGTGTCCAACATCAAGGTCTCTGATTGGGAGGTTTTGAGGAGCATGGAACCATCTCTTAATTGCTGGTGTTCCCAGGTCCACCCTAAATTGGGGTCAAAACACTATGAAAGTGTAAAAATAGGTTTTAATACCAGCAATAAATTTTTTGAAGAAAAAATATTACCAGTAATACATTTTTGAATAATGATTTTACTCATGCAAGTTCTACTATTCAATCCATAGCTGGGAGGAGGGAGAAGAGGTGGATTCATACCTTTCCTAATGGTATTTACATGCAAGTGAATATAACGAATGCAACTGGAATTGAAACTTGGCTCTACAATTTCCAATTCTGAGCCATTATCCATTACATCACCAGCACATCCAAGCTTACTATTCCCAAGCAGTTGCCCATCTAGGTACTGACCATGATCAATGTTGCTTAACTTCAGTGATTGTACAAGAACCAGTGTTTTAACATTACATTCTCTTTCAAGACCCCCTTAGCTACCATTGTTAATTTCATTTTGTGTTGCTGTAGCAGGACATGACAACACAACTGCAAAATTCAAACTCACTATTTGTATGGTAAGATAAACTTCTAACTTGATCACCTGTAGAGGGTTACAAGATAAGGTACAATATACCTATATAATGCACCTACATATATAATAATTTAAAATTTTACTTTTGCTTTAGATGTTGCTCTTGAACGAGAAGTTGATGGAGACTTAATTTTGAATGATATGGGAACAGGAATGCCATTTAAGCCAGGTGTGTTTGATGCTGTAATCAGGTGAGTTTTCCTTTCTAATTATTTGTTAGTTTTCAACAAGTAAGTAATTGAGTTTGCGGATTCAAATGAGTTCTTTTAACAAAGCGAGGCACTTCCTCTCAATTGTCTATTTGAACGATAAGAATTCTTGAATATAAGCTCGGACTATTCAGAAAATTTATTTAGCACTATAAATAAATAAGTGTTTTGGAATACAACTTGCATTGCTTTTAAAAACAGTGTTCAATATCAGATATTGATGGGCAACTATAAAGTCAAATCCAGATGAACAATTAAAATCACTCTTAAAAATATTTTCATTAGTTTTAATGATCATATAGGAATCCATGTACCATAAGATCACATTGATAACCTTTGCTTGCATTTTGGAAACCAGGCTTTTCAAATATATTCCTATGATTATTAATTCAATACACTATTTACATTATTCAGACTATTGTCCTCATCTTTATTCGGACTGTTGCCATATTTAATGTTTTGGCTGTTGTATACTCTGGCCTTCTTCAGGTGGTTGGAATGTCAAACTGAACCCTTTATTTCGCTCGCTGGGGTAGACTGTTCTAGTTCCACGTGCCATGGTTGATGGATGTCAGTTATCTCCTGTTAATTCCCCTCTCAATGTTCTCCACTGCCTTAACTGGGTATTGAACTCACACTCTTTGGGTCCTGTCACTGGATCTAACTAACGCCTTTATCCACTGTTCTCCACTAACACCTTTGTTAGATTACTGATAACTGACATCCATTAGACATGGCACATGGAACTAGAACAGTCTACCCCAGTGAGTGAAATAAAGAGTTCAGTTCATTTTGAAGATTCCAACCACCTGAAGAATATTTTTTTTTATTTTACAATAGTTCGAATAATGTAAACAAAAAATTTTTTAAATATTGATACTGAATATTAGTTAAATTTGATGAGGACAATAGTTCGAATAATGTAAATAGTGTACATAATACCTCATCTCAGAAATATAGACAGATACTGAAGAGAGATAAATATGGCGACAAAGATGAGGACAATAGTCTGAATAATGTAAATAGTGTACATAATACCTCATCTCAGAAATATAGACAGTTATTAATTCAATGTTATTTTGATATGAATTCCTGTGTAATGATTGCCTATTGCAAAACAAACATTTTAGTTAAAGTAGTAAAAATGGACACGTCAGAACAAAAATTAACAATAGAAAGAGTAACAAAAAATAGCATTGCCTTAAATCAGTAAGAGTGGTTTTTGAATTCAGAGTTATCCTTCTCCTAAACTGGCTGCCAACCAAGGTTGAAGAACCCAGTCTGCACTACTATTTAACCCAGTGTTTCTCAACCTTTTTAAGCAACAGCACACCTAGGAGCAAATGAAAGTATCACAGCATTTTTAAATGATATACATTTAAATGTTATGAAATGAAACCAAAGATCTACTAAAGGGATATTGAGAAAACAAAAAAAAAAGCATGGCATGTGGAATTCGAACAATCTACTCCATAGACTAAATAAAGGGTTTAGTTTGAAATTCCAAAGTATGTCACCTGAAGAAGGCCAGAGCGTACAATGACTGAAACATTGTGAATATGGCAAGAAAATGAGGACTGTAATCCAAATGATGTAAATAGTTACAATACGTTGTCTCAGAAATACAGAACTATTTATAAAAAGAAATATTAAAATAGATTATAAAATTTGAGCAAATTTATGTAACAATATATTTAGATGAAAATTTATTTTTTTTTTTTACATGTTCTATATTTGGATAATAGAAATATTTAATGTACTAGTCCAGTGTTTCTCAAACTTTTTAAGCAAATAGCATACCAAGTACCAAATAAAAATATCATGGCACACTTAGCAATTTTTCAAGGGTATACATTTAAATGTTAGGAAATAAAACCATAGACAAAATATACACACAAATATGAATTTTATTTCAATGTTTCTATTCAACTATTTGTGTAGCTTATTTAATATGAAACCTGTGCCTGTGTTTTGGGGTTTTTTTTGTGATTTCTTCAATGTTTGGTCGTTTGAGCAATAAGACCCACATTTCTTTTTCAGTTAAATGTAGTCTTTCTCGCTTCTTATTTTTGATGTTATTTAGGGTTGAGAAGCCAAATTCACATAAATAAGAAGTAGAAAATTGCAATATAAACTGATAGTCTTTTTAGCTAATGTGGGATATTCCTTTTTCATTGAAATCCAAAATGTATCAATGGTTACTGCCAAATGTTTTATTTTGAGACCTTAAAAAATAAAAAAAATACTATTAAAAAAAAATGAATATTAAAACAGAGTATTTAAAATAACATAATCGAAGAATAGTGAAAAGAACCCCCCCCCCATTGTCAGAAGGGTGCAGAATGTATGCTGGGATTTTTTTCTTAGCCAATAAAATGAGACGGCTTGCATTTTGACATGACTCAGTCCAGGTCTGCTGACTCAGGTGGTTCACGGCTGACTTGTTGAACTCTCTGCCTTCAGGCAGAGACGAACCCAGACATGGCTATGCTGAAAAGCAGAGTTGTGTCAGGGCAGGTAGACAAGCTCGACCTAACGTATGCAGGTTTTATGGGGAATTTTTGTCCACATAAAAAACGGTCTTGTGCCACATCCTACCTTGTGGGGAGGCTAAGGTAAATAACCTCAGTCCAGATCTGCCTTAACTAATAGACAGACATACTGTGTTCACTTGGTCGGCCTTGCTTATGTATACAAACATCAACTCCTAGTTTGTGACTTTTTTTGCCTTCTTACCAATTTTGATTTGTTTTAATAAAATTGTTTGTTCGCTCGCATGATTGTTGCTGTTTCAGTTTTTCTTTTTATTGCAAACTTTATTAATTCTGATCGTATTATTTACATTGCACTTTAACAATGGCTTCTAACTCATCAGCTTTAATTAAATTTTACACCACTGCAAAAAATACTACAAACATCTTAAATAAATTCAAATGAAAATTTATGGTATGTGACTCCTCTCAGATGATGTGAAGAAAAACTTTGCCTTCGTGTCTTTCAGAAAAGCTAGGTGCATCGACAAGTTTATATGAGAGATGACCTCTTAGCTGCCAGGTATATATCCACACTTCACTCAATGTGACTGCCCCTGAAATATAAATACATAGTCGATACAGCTGCACGTAGGATGTGCGCATATATTGGACATCTGGCAGGTAGATATATAAACACCCACCCTAGAAAGAAGAGTTTCTCACATCTTGACAAGATTTAGAATCCATATTTAGAGAGAGCCTCAGGGCTACACACTTGTGTCCTCATTAACAATTTTTTTTTTTTACAATGATGTTCACTGTACAAGGCTCAAGAGCTACTTGAGGTAGAGGGTTATAGAGTAAGGGACACCACTGCAAGCAAGGTGATAATGCCACCAATACATGAGGAACCACTGGAAATCAAAGAGAAGGAAAATGCTTTAGAAGGAACTGGAAACCCAATCCTAAACAGGAAACGAGATAAACCTCTACTCTAAGGATAGGGGAGGAGTGTGAACTGGATGCTAGTCAAACTTATCTACTCCTATTAAATGTACAATACCCTTACAAATTATTGGTTTAAAATCTACCCAACATGATACGGGAATGGAGAATTTGAATTAATGAACTGATGATAATCAAGATCTTTTATTAAAAAGTGAGAATTTTTTTTTTTAATTTTGTGACCATTATATAGGTGTTAATGTGCCATAGAATCAAAATTGTACAAGACATTTAAGAAAAAATTTTTTTTTTTTATTCAGTATTTCTGCTCTTCAATGGTTATGCAATGCTGACAAGAAATATCACAACCCCATAAAAAGAATGTACAAATTTTTCAGCACCCTCTATGCTTGTATGGTAAGTCTACCAAGTTTTGTCTTATTATTCTTTTCTAGTTTTGTTTTTAACTAACAAACAAAAAAAAGACACAGGTTACAAGAATTTACTATTTAATCAAAACTGAATTTCTGGAATTGCTGCCAAGTGGCAATTGAAGTAATTAAGAGAAAGATACACATTATTTTTTTTTCTTTTGTGTGAAAAGAGAATTAATATTTTTCTTCCAAACTCCTCAATATTTTTCTTCCAAACTCAATATTAAAGAAATCCTAATTCACTAATGCAACCCTGACTCTCCATTTCCTTATCCCTCAATTCTGTTTATGATTTTTTTTTTGATTCACTTATTTGTTTCTTTGTATGCGTAACAAGATGGTTATTGGCACAGGAAGTGGAATTGGGCCCCCCGAGTTCAAATTCTATACAAGTCAGTTGCGTTCACTTTGCACTTGTATCCTAGTGACTTCATCTTCCTCCCCACCACAAATTATGGCTAGCAGACCTGGACCTTTGTGCCCACAAAAAATGGTGTCAAAATGACATTTTTCTTTCCATTGACACTGCTGTTATTTATAACTACCTTCACTCCTCAACAATGTTTATTCTTTTAAAAAGCAATGATTAGAATTTTAATAAAACCTAAACACATGAAAGTGAATCTATACATTTTCTTTTGACAAAAAAAAAAAATAATAAACCATTCCAGTAAATAATATTTACTGGAATGGTTAGCAAAACATTGGCGAATTGCCAATTGATTCAAACTTTATAAAATGGTAAATAATAAGTTCACATATAATATTTTAATAATTTAGTAATTGTTTATAAATTTATGAGTAAAAAATTTTTATGTATATTTCTTTATAAATTGGTAAATGACAAATATTGCATAGTATTAGTTTTAATTGTATTAGTTATTGGAATGTTGTAAATATAAAATTATTCTTGTAAATTCTCAAGAACAAAGAAAATGTATAAATTCACTTTCATCATAGATTTGGGTTTTATTACAATTCTAATCATCTTTTTTTAAAACAATAAACATTGCTGAGGAGTGAAGGTAGTTAAAATAATAGTGGTGTCAAGGGAAAAACCATACTTTTGACATTGTTGTTTTTCTTGTGGGTCTGAAGATGCAAGCTCACCTGTCTAAAATGCAAACTGGACTCTCAGTTATTTATCTGACCGACCATTCATTTATTAATGTGATTCCCAGCAGCAAAGAGATTGTTTACTCCTGAGTTGGGCCTTTTATTCATAAACTAGTATAATACCTATAAAAAAGAAATGGGAGAATTAGGTATGAATTAGGATTTTTACCTAGAATCAAAGTGTAGTACCTGTACATCCTTTGTTGTCCTTCCTTCCAATTTGTCTTATAAGTCTTTTCTTTTTTTTTTTTCTTCTTTTATTGACAGGCTCGCAGTTCTCGTGCTGTTTTCCAAATTTACCCCGAGAATGGAGCTCAGGTAAGATGACTGTGTGAATCTTGCTTTGGCCTCTTGGGAGTTTATCTTGCTTATATGGTCTGTAAATTTCTTAGATGAAGCCTTGTTAATACTTTTTCATTTTTGACAATTCTTTTCTTCCATTTTGATTCTGTTTCACTCTAACTAAACTTCCAGATCATAATTCTTTGATTGTCAGCAGTGTTGACTAAAAACACAGAGTATCCCTATGGCAAGATACTTACACAGTTTGATAACTTAACCAAAAAGAGAAAAATAGTAGCAGTAATAACCTTGATAAAACTACACCTAATTCTTCTACTTACCAACTCAAAAGAACCTGCAGTTGAAAAGAATTTTAATCTAAACGGCATATAAAATTTATCACCAAACAAGAAATGATTTAATCAACACAAAATAACTTTAGTGAAACTTGAAGTAATATACAAAAATTCCTGTCCAAAGAAATATATGCATGAAATAGAAATTTAAATAAAAAGATTCTGTGAATCCAAACGATATCTTTCACAAAACAATCCCCTCAATTCATCTGTCATTTATTGTCCGACATGGAACCGTCATTTCTACTTAAAGAATGCAGTTTTGATTAGAAGAAAAAGTCATTCATTAAGTCGAACATGTATTAAAAGGGCACTAATCTTGTAGTCTTCCTTCATGAATTTACTTCCAGACAATGTCAAATATTTAAGAACAATAGAGAGAAAAACAATAAGCAGAACAAAGTTGATTAGGTTATGCATCTCGGTAGGTTGGAGGCTAAAACAAGCTAGGACTCCCAAGATATCTTCAGCATCGGTCACTTTCCCATCGCCTTAATGTGGCTTCCCTTGGCCTTTTCTATATTTTCATGGTAATTGTTCTGATGTTCTTTCCTTGTTGGGTATCTAGACTCTTTATGAATTCAAGTGCAGTACTCGTGTTATAGTTGAAATGGTTAAATGTGATCATAAGTTCTATGCAAACAGTTTTTCTTGCACTTCTCACTTGTGGGACTCTCTTCCAGCTCCACATTTTCCAGTCAACTTTGCATTTAAAATTCTGAAGATAAATGTCAATTGTCATCTTCTGTCTTGTTAAAATGCCTGTTCTTTTATTGTCCTCTCTCTTTAATAATGTTTTTTTTTTTTTTTCTTCTCTCATATCCTCTCACACTCAGTAACCCCTTGCATCTTAGCGACTTTATCTTGCTTGGAATAAAATGGTTAAAAATAAAATATCTAAAATTGTAAGCGGCATTTGCCCCCCCCCCTCCAAAATATATGCATTGAGAGAGAGAGAGAGAGACTCGATTGATAAAAATATTAGTCTGAAGAAGTTCCTCTCGCAGATGAATGGTATTATAGTTGTTTTCCATTTTGTCATTCAATTATTTAATAATACTAGAATGGAAATTTGGGATAAAATCTGAAGAAAGTTTTAATAAAGTTTAATAATCATTAACTTAGTTTTCAAAATTCCTTTGATGAAACCGTTAGAACTTGTAAAAGTTTTAACCAATCAAGATGGCTGTATATGGCATGTTTACAGAAGAAAATATATAAATAAATTAATCAGTAAAGCACTCTCAAACACAAGGGATGTGATTTCAAATCTTGCTGCAGGCTTTTGTCTTTCATCTCTGATCATCAGTATTGCTTATTTAATAGTTGTATAATAACAGAGTTCTGATAAAATAAAACAAGTAAAAAAAAATGGACTGTCGTTTGTAAGAATTTCAAATAACTTAAGACTGTTACATCTATTATTACTACTAAGTTTAAATTTTAAACACGAGTCAAGGGTGAAGCATGACATTGCTTCATCTAATAAATTCGGACAACTTCAGACTATTACTTCTATTAGGTGTAAACAAGCAATAACCAAAAAAAAAAAAAAATGTATAAACTATCATTAGTAAAACTGCATTTTTCATGTCATTTTAGATGTGGCTTTAACAAAACATTTGACAGTATTTCTTAGGTTATCTGTAGCTTGATTTTCCAGCCTTCAATTATCCAATTGTTAAATGAAAAGAGAAACTGAAATCATGTGAACGTCTTTCAATTATCCAAACAAAACCCATTCCAACATTTCATCTTGGACAAGTGTCTTGAGAATTTACAAAGCCATTCTCAACATTTGATAAAAACGCTGTCAAAATAAGTTCAATTAATTCTTGTTAATTTTCTTTTTTTTGTACAAATTTTGCAGGAATTAATTTCTACTGATTGCCTGGGTATTGCTACATTCTTGAAAAAAAAATATCCTCAAAAAAGATAAATATTATTTAGTAATTTGAAAGTCATGGGGAAAGTTACTTTGAACTGAAAATAACTCCATTTCTCATTTTCATAGTTCTGATCTCTGACAATAGAAGAGTATACTGAGCAATTTGTATCAATGAAACAAAAGCAGAAATAAATGAACTAAACAAAACCTTGAGGAAAGCATTTGATGTCCTTCGATGATAGAAATATTAAATTTCTTTAAAAAAAAAAAAAAGACTGTTTTCATCATTATTTCTTTTTTGATAATTTAGGTATTCAGGTATCTGGTATTTTGAATTATCTGAAAATATTTTATCAACCTCAGTCACAAGTGTCTGGATAATTGACGAAATACTACACTTCAGAAATAAAATCTCTTCACTGATTTTCTGTCCCTTGAATTGTTTAGAGATTCTGAAAATTAATTCATAATTCATTTAATCTGGAATGATGTTAAATCATTGTCTAATTGAGACACATCTTAATCCAAATTTGTGTAGTTTTTCACATCAGCTTGAATTGTAGGAAGTCCAAATCTAAATTGTTTTTACTGTTAGGTTTGTAGACTCATGGGAGGTAATAAAAAGACAATCTTGTATGTGCACAAGAGATCAGAATATAGAATATTAAAATAAAAATACTTTGTATGTGATCCAAGATTCTGAGAATTAAAATTAAAAAAACCCAAAAAGAAACTGTTTTATTTACTAGAAAAACATTTTTATATAATTAAGAAAAAAAAAATTATCTTTCTAGTTAGAGTTATTAACGCAACAGTCCATGCGTGCAGGATTCAGTGGTGGCTTAGTGGTTGACTACCCAAACAGTACAAAAGCCAAAAAGTAAGTATAAATTGTTTATAGTTTTTTTTGTTTTTTTTTTTTAAATTTTGACCTGATATGAAAGATTCTAGATTTTACAAGTATTCTTCATCAATGAATAACAATTTGTGGTGGTTATGGGTATAATTTTATAACCAATTTAATTATGGAAGAATCTTTGTCATGAAATCCTGAACAACTACAATGCAATTTTGATTTCATTTACATCTAAATTTGGCAGAACTTTGCAGTTTTATTTTTAAATTGATGATAAACCTTCTTTTTTTTTTTCTTTTTTGCTTTAGATTTTTTTACATTATTATTATTATTATTATTCTTTAAAAAATAAACATAAAACAAAATTGGAAAAATGGAAAGAAATAGACTTTTTTGGTTGAGTTTCGCAAGACTTGTTTAATTAATTTCTTGCTGCCTAAATATAATTAGTGAACTCAAACAAAATTAAGATGAAGAAATGTAAACATTCTATTCCTTTCAGTAAATATGAATCAAAATATAAAAATTCTGTATTTTGAGCCAGAATTCATGAAAAAATGAAAGCGAATTATATCAAACAATATGATATAAATTGGAGAAAAAAAAAAAAAAAAAAAATACATTGGAATCTCATGCTGTGTTTTTAAAAATTAATTTACCATCATCGGGAAATCCTGAAGATCTGACTATCTTCTTCACTCTTAGAAAATTCAAAATGTATTTCATCTTCCACACTTGAAAAACTTAATCTTTTCTTCTAACGATATTTTAAAACTGTCATGAATACACAAATATCTGGGAGGTAACTAATGCTCCACCCCTCATTGCGATGGTAATGATTCATTACCCTTTGAATATAACATCTGGGGGTGCTTTTTTTATGGGAGCAGGGGATAGTTTTAAAAAGTGAAATATGACAGATCTCTAGTGTCACTCCATTTTTGAAAATAGAAGCAACTATTTTTTTTTTTTTTTTACAGAATTTTCCTTTGTCTTTTTGCTGGTGGCCAACAACAATTGCCTAAAGGACTTGGAACAGAAGACAGTATTTTGAATCAAAACCAAATTTCCTTTATTGATAAAAGGTAAGCATTTATTTTTTTTTTCTGCATCAGTTTCTTCTTAGACATTTTGCCATTGAAGCCTATTTGGATTGGAAATCCCAGAGTCCAAAATCCCCAAAATAGGTGTGTGTGTGGGGGGGTATTTTTAACAACTTTATAAAGGCTGAAAAAAATCAAAATTGTCTGCCAAATTCTTCTCTGCTCAGTATTCTCTCTTTAAACCTTGCTATGCTGGTTTCCAAGGTAGGCAGTCTTTTCTATTCTTATTCAGTATTTTTACCCCCTTTGGTTGAGTAAATATATCTCCACAGTGAGGGCATGATTTGTCTCCCGCCGCCCCCAAACTACATATATATATATGGATTGAAAGTTCATTCATGCATTCTATTGGAGAGGGGGTACCCTCCTGCTCTGGCGGCTGATGTCTGCCTATGGAGCCTTTCATCCAGCAATGCTGCATCATCACTGCACTGACTTCACACATAGCTAAAATGTATTTGAATATTAAATCTCTCTCTGCCCCCAAATTGACAAAACCTAGAAATGACATTGAGATCAGTTTTTCACTTTGGCATTATTTTGTGCTGCTTTTGCTATTGTTAATATAGATGACCAGATTGAAAAAGGTCAGTTGTAAAATGTGTGGCCTCAACATTCATTTCAGGGAGAGAGTGAAGAAGCTAAGAGGCTGTAAAAACGCTAAAAAAAGTCGTGATTGGATTCTGGAAAAGAAAGAAAGGCGACGAAGACAAGGAAGGTGAGTTTAAAAAAAAGGGTGAATTTTTTTTTTTTTTTAACAAATTCCTAACTTTTATTTTGAGATTGTATACTTTAGGCAATTACTAATTTTGGTGGGTGAATTCTTATATTGGAATTGACATTTTTTTTTTTTTTTCTCTCTCGTTTTGTAAAATACATCTTTAGTACACATCATCAGTGATGGTTCTAGCTGAGGTTCATTAGGTGTTTTCAGGTCTTTCAACATCATACCCTCCTTTTCATAGTGACCCAGCCAATACCAATCTGGTATCGATTTGTGTACCTTCTGTTAGCTACAATTATTTCCATCTTTACAACTACACACTGCAATTCCCCTTGGCAATTTATAGTCCACTCCCAGATAACTTCTGGTTCAACAGCAATGTGCACTCTTCCATAAGTGCTACCCGGTCTGTTTGATAGCAATGGCAGCTAGAAAAAGCAGGACACTCATTCCTTTAAAATTGCATTTTTAGTCACTCGTTTGTTTGTCTCAGCGGGTGGCGTTCATCACTTTCTAAAAGGTAAAGAAGTCACTAAGTGATAAAGATTTTAATGGCTACATTTAAAAAAAAAAAGAAAGAAGACAGAATTATATAGCAGCTGCTGCCATTCTCAATGACTCCAGTCAGTTTTTCTTGTATTTTGTCCAAAATTCTCCTAACTTTGCAAGTGATATGTCTTGGCAATCTGTTCACAAATTGCTACTTTAAGAGAAAAAAAAAAAAATGGGAAAGAAGATCATATGTCAACCCATTGCATAAATTTATAGGAAGGTGATGTGTTGTCACTAAGTTTATTAAAAAAAAAAAATTGAAAGATTAAGAGTATGTGGAGTCTTTTGTTTTTTTTTTTTTTTTAAATCAATGACTTGATGCAACCAGATTTGCTACATAACTAAATGCCAAATTTCTCAAAGTAAATTGGTTATTATTTAATAAGATTTTAATCTTTCGAGTGTGGAACAATCCAATCCATATTTTTTCCAACCTTTTGTAGTTGGCCTTGATAGGGAAAGCCATAAACCTTAACTCTAAATTTTTTGTTTTCTTCTTCAGGGATACACGCCCAGACAGCAAATATACTGCCCGAAACAGAGGACCCAAATTTTGAAAATTTAATAAACAATGTTAAGAAATTTTAAATTAAAATCTTAGGCCACTGTTAGTAGCTGCTATGAGTGTTATTTATTAAAAAAAAAAAAAAAAATGTACCAAATAAAGCATCAAAGTTACACATGTGATTTTACATGTTGATATAAATGGTACAAATGTCTTCTATACTAGATTCATCTCAATTATCTGTGGTATCGGTGATAGCCTGACTGATTTTGATAATCCAAAATTCAAGTAGCTATGTGCTGTCCCTGCACCCCTGGTGACTTGGACAGTCTATCACTTGCCTTACCCCAGATCTGATGTAAGAGCAAAAATTTTCTCAAATATGCATAAAATCTAATAACCGCAGAAAGAAATCTGAGGTGTGTGTGGGGGGGGGCAAGAATGACAAATATGGACATAACCTTTGAACTAGAAGTTTTGGTTTCTTTCAACAACAGCAAAGTTTTACAATTTTCTAACCGCCAGAAAAGATGACAAGTTAATACCAATCTGACAGAGATGTTATGGTACAAACAACTTTAATACAAAGCAAAAACATAACAACTGAATTAAAGATGGTATTTATTTTTTTTTTTTTTTTTTTTTTTTGATTTGTGAAAAATAATTGCTATTGCTCTAAAAATCTTGGTTTATAAAGCAACGGACAAAGAATATTTGTTTTCAACAAACCAAAGTTTCAATTTCAGGGACGCAGAATTATTTATACACCAGCTTAAAAGGAAAAAAAAAAAAAAAAAAAAAAAAAAAAAACCTCATCTTGGTAGATATAGAAACATTTTAACCATGGAATGAAATTAGAATAGGAAATCCGGGGGTAAATTAAAAGAATTAGCACCCATGTTATGCTTTACTAACTACCTCAGTAGGCCAAGCATAGAGTTGACCACCATATGGGATAGCTTGTCCTATAAGTTTCAAATTTCCAGAAGACAAGATTGATGAGAGATAACCATTCTAATAATCCAGTTAGGAAAATAGGGATTATTTTTATTTTTTTTTTTTATTATAGTCATTTTATTTAAAGTGTCATTCATCTTGTAAATCCTTACAACAGGTCATCTAACTTTCCTTAAATGAATTCTCAAATGTAAACAGGCATTGTGTGTGACCAACAAGCTAATTACAGGTTCAATAAAAGTTTGGATATCTGGGAGGGTGATAAATAGAAGCCAATTCATTAGCTTACAAATTATTTTTTTTGGCAATGATCTATATAGTAATGTAAATATTGGGGGGGGGGGGTTAAATCATTTTTATAAGAGACTAAATGGAATAATTGAAATTTCACTAGCTTGATTCTTATCTATGTTGATAAATATGCTGTTGGCACAGATATGATGGTTAGCAAGCTCATCACACAGTTCCAGTCCTCACTAGGATACTAGTATTCCTGAGGGAGAAACTTTCATCATGAGTATGACTGCAGATGACCGTTTACTACTTACAGATTCACTTTTGATTTGGATGGAATTTAGCCATGGACAAGGTTACTTTTTCCAGACCCAAAAGTATGTGCAAGAAGCATAAAAGTACAAAGCAAAATAAATATATCTCTTGAAGATATTAAGAGAAAGAACTTTTTTCTCTTCTATTTGGCACATATATATATATATATATATATATATATATATGAGAGAGAGAAATTGATAAAAATGGAACAACATTGTAAATATTTTTCTTGCATTATTAAACCCTGAAAAATTTGACAAAATCAAATCAAATTTAAAAAAAAAAAAACCTTAAAGCCCCGATACTCTTTTAATTATATATATTTCACAATTGTTCCTCTTATTGATCGGAAAAATAGTTTTGAAAATGAGGGATTATATAAGATAATGAATTTATGATGAAGAAACATCTATGAAGAGAGATTTTATATACCCATTTACTAGTGTGCGTATATATATATATATATATATATATATATATATATATATATATATATCTACGCACAAAAAAAAACACAGTGCAACTGAGATACCTCCCACACAAGACAGTGGCAATGGTGTCTCCATCTAGCTAATGCCTGACACACTGTATAATCTCAAAGTAATAATGCAACATTTTCTACACAAGTCATCTGAGATTGTGTGTTTTTTTTTTTTTTTTAACGCATTAGAATTGCTGCTATTAATGCATGATATTTCTCATTTATGGAATTTTGCTTTCTTTAAAATTATTGAAATATCTAAAAAGAAGTCAATATATAGATTGTGTGGGAGGGGCTATTTATTAGCAAACTAATCCCCCCCACACGCGCACACTACTTATAAAAGGGTATTCAAGTTGCTCTGCTATCAAGGCATTTTACCATTGTTGGCCTCAGCTGTTAACAATGGAATATCTTTAATAAGAGGAGATCAAACCTGCATGTCTGACAAATATGGCCAGATGTAATCTGTACATGGAGTGTTGCTATTCAAATTTACTTTTTATATTGAATCAATTTATGTACCAGTTTTTTGTTTTGATAAATTGGTTGACAAAAGGAGAAGCATATTTGGAAAAGTAAAAGGAAGAAGAAAAAAAAAAGCGTATTCTACATTCAGAAAATATAAATCCGTTTGTAAACCATTAATTATGGCAAGAGGAACCCAATTGCCATTTTTTTTCTTCTTCCATATATTGAGCAATCACATCATTGGTAATTAGTAAAAAAGAATTATTTTTGGAGACATTCTTTAATAATCGTGAACTCTTTCTAGCAAGAATGATAAGAGTAACAAACAGTTGCAGTAATTTGCTTCAAGAGATTTTTTTTTTTTTTTACTTTGTATTTCAATATTAAAAAGTGATGGAAAGCATTAAAAATGTTATTTCGTTCAAATGATAAAGAGCTTAGTCTACATAAAATATAACAGATTTGGAAGGCATGAACCTTAAGATTCATTTCCAGGAACAGTAAATAAAATCTTTAAAAGATTTTCAATTGTGGTAGTTGGTCAAAATATTCAAATCTTGATTCATTTCTATAAATTTCATCTTTTGCTGAGACTGACCAAAGATAATGAAAAAGGCATTAAATTGAAATCATTTCTACAACAAAATGAAAAATTGTAAAGTTCTTCCATTTTCTTTTCAATTTTGTTAATTTAGTAAAATTTTCAGAAAAGAAAGGAAAAATATTACAAATCAGATGTGGGGTGGGGAACAACACAGAAAAACCAGACAACAAGCAAACGTTAAAAACCAGTACAGACTCCAATTTTAATACATCTTTAATCAAAGTTTTAAAATCATGTATATATAACCTTTATATATATATATATATATATATATATATTTATTTTAGAGGATTTTTTTTTTTCTTTTTTTTTTTTTTTAAATCTTCCTAAAAAAAGTTCTTCAAACAATTTTCCATATTACAACAGACCAGAGAGACAATCAGACAACCAAAATTAGAGCCACATTTAGGTTACAACTTTTGTTAAAAGAAAAAAGATATTTATATAAAAAGCATTATTTTCAAGAATTACAGTTTTAATCAATCATAATGATAATAAAAGAACTCATAACAATAAATAAATGATAAAGACTTTTTCTTTCCTGCAACTTCTTAGAAGAAATACTTAAGACAATAATTGACCTGATCCACAAATTGTATTGTGGTGTAGTGTGTGTGTGGGGGGGGAGGTATTGGAGCTACAGGAAGAGGGGAGAAAATCAGAAGGCAGACTTAGCTTAGGGTGGGGGAGATAATTATTTAGAATCTGCATGAAGAGCAAATTTAAACAATACAAGAGGCACAGCTTTCTGATTGGAATCCTCTGTAGAGAATAAGAGATGAGGAAATGACTAAAATAAATGGGTTAGACCAAAATACCAGAAAGTGGGTAGATATATACCTATATTTTAACAAACTACAGAAAAATTAATGTGAATTCATATAACAAATAGGAAAAATAGTGCCAAAGGAGTGGGATGGACATCAGTGTTGGGGGCTAGGGGTCTGCAAGTCTTTGTCACATAAACAAAAAAAGGGAATGGGGCAAGACTGACTGTAGGAAAAAAATGATTTAGTAAACAAGCATTTTGCTTTATGTTCAGAAAAACTTTATCTTTGTGTATAATACATTTTATTAAAAAAAAAAAAAAAAAAATTCAAAACAGAAAAGGACAAATTTTCTTGATAGGGAAGAATAGAGAAAAAAAAAAAAAATAAAGAGTAGAGTAAAATAAATTGTAGGTTCTTTTTCATGTTTAATAGATTTAAAAAAAAATTTTTTTTTTTTCATTTTTTTCTTTTAATGTAACTGGTTCTGTATAATAATAATAATAATAATAATAGAATCCAAAAACAACAATACACTTATTCGAGTCAAAGCAATTATTCAAGATAATTAAAAAGAAAAACAATGTGACATGAGAAAATTGGGGAAACAATGAATGTGGAAAAAAAAAAAAAAAAAAAAAAAAAAGGATGTAGTTTTGGAGAAGAAAGTCGTCTGGTTAACTTTGGGTTAAAGGTGAGGCTGGGGGGGGGGAGAGATGGGTGGTTAAGTTTAAAAGAGTCAAAAGTCTGCACATTAACAATGCTAACATTTGTTTTTGTTTTTAAGAGCAAGAAATTGGGATTTGGACAAAGATGGCAACCAGTATTGGTAAGCAAGCTGTCCACTTTTGAGAAAGAGTTGTGAACTAAAATGAACGAGAATTTGTAGACATAAATTTTTTCTTAAAAATAAAAACAACGAAGAGTTGCAAACAATTAAGATTGACCAGATTAACCACAGGTGAAAGGTCAATTGCAGGTGAACAGAAAGAAAAGTTAACAGAGTTGAGTGTCACAGTAACTGAAATAACAAATAAGTAGAGGTTGAAGGGAGAGGGGGTGCACACGCATGCAAATGGGGGAGAGAGTGTGTGTGTGCGCATGCATGCAAATGGGAGAGAGAGAGAAAGAGAGAGAGTGTGTGTGCGTGTGTGCATGCATGCAAATGGGAGAGAGAGAGAGTGTGTGTGTGTGCGCATGCATGCAAATGGGAGAGAAAG